GGGCTTCAGCCGGAAAGCTTTTTTTAAATATATAAATAGTAATAATTATTTTAGAAGAAAAAAGGCGAAATAACCTATGAAATGACATTTAACTGATTCTTGAAGCCTAATTTTAAAAAATGAATTACAGGAACAATAATACTTTTAGAGGTAATTTTTAAATATTTTTGTCATAAGACCTGGCTATATTTAGCATTATAATTTATAAAATAAAACTTTGTCTAAATATTTATATTAGATCACTTACAGTGACAAATATGAACCAATAAAAAAAAAGTTCCATTGTTGGGTGGGGGGCTGAATATTTACGTGACTAAAGATGTATGCCAAAATTGTACTTTTTATAAGAATGAAATGGATTACACCATCTTAACATTTAATATTGAAACAGCAACGGCGCTTACATAATATAATATCAATTTTATGTATCAAAAATAATTAAGATGTCTTAAATATAATCTTACCTGAGCTGTGAAGCGGACGTTATATTTCTTACAACTGCGACAGTTGAAAAAATTATTCACCCTTGATTGCTAACATGACACCGTGACGTACAGCTAACACCTCCGCCGTTATCAGGACACTGGTTGGAGTTGTTTTTTAATGAGTTTTTTTTAAAGCTAGAAAGATAAATATTAATCACGACACCTGAAGTGTTCAAAACGTAATTGGGTTTTTTAAGAAAGTACAATTACGTTATGAACAAACCTAAAAAAAACACTCCTACCTCAGTCTAATGTACACAAATCTTGTTGTCTCTTGGCAATGTTTTAAATCTTTATAACTGTTTATTCTCGGCTCCGCGGGAGAGTTTTACCTAATATTTAAGCAAAACAATAAAAATCTGATCCATACGTAAATAGTTTCAAATTTTCTAAGTGAAATGAAGTTAAATTTATTTTGCTGGTTAGTAAATATCGTAGTATGTAAACATTCCACGGTTAGATGCAGACTATCAAATTTTAATTTTCTCAACAAAAGTCACAGGCGGATCTACGGGAGGGGGGCTTTCGGGCTGCCTCCCTCCCAAATGGTAAAATGTAACCATATTTTACAGGAAAAAATATTAAAAACTATCTCTTAACATATTCTTGTTCGTGTAATTATATTTAATAGGACTTCAAGAACCATTTAAACACCATTTCATATAGATAATTAATTTCTTTCTTTTTTTTCAAATTAATTATCGTTATATGTATATGAAAAACAATCTTTCGGGCTGAAGCCCCCCCCCCAAAATTAAATCCTGGATCCGCTAGTGACAAAGTTAAAACAATTTCTTTAGTAAGATATGGGTCAAATATTTTTTTTCAAGTTATCACTTAATTTCTCATTTTGATTCATTTAAGAATAAAAAACAATTTTTAAAAAACTTCTCATCGTTCTCTAGCACTGACCATTCCGCTTTCTTTAAGTTCCTAACTATTTTCGATAAAATATTTATGGTTCGGTATCGTAAAAAAAATATTGACTATGAAAAGTTTCCGTTAAGCGGTTAAAAGAATTATATAATTGATGATTACGATTTTGTTTACGATAATGACAGTGATCCAAGTTACTAAAATTCAACCGTTCAACCTCTCACTTCATTTTTAGTAAATAATATTTTTATTTAAAATCAGAAAATAGGAATATAGAATAAAGATAGAAAATTTGATGTATTTATTAATTAAAAATAAAATATTTCCGATGATAATTCTAAGTATAGGTACCAGTAAGGATGCCCCCCTCCCCCCAAGGTCGATGGCGCAAGAATCTAACACCGTCCCTCTCTTCCCAAGATATTTTATTGCTCATCTTTTCTTAAAAACATAACTGAAATTCTGGGCCGGCGCCCACAACGGGCTCCCGGGGCGATTGCCCCACTCTTAAGCCGGCACTGAATGTTGTGATATTTAATTGATAAGAAGATAAATAGATCACTGATGTTCCCAGAAGGGGGTTTTATGGCGCAAGTTACCCCATCAAAATTGTTGAGGGGAGGGGCACACTTTAACTAGGTATTTTGGGGGGGAACCATATTTATGTGGAGTTTCAATTTGAAGGGACTTTCGAACCATAGAACAAAAGGGAAAAAACATGAAACAGATACATTAAGTAAAATGTTATATATTTACAGTTTTTCTAATTACACTGGAGAAAAGATCAAAACATATTTTGGGAAGGAGGAGGGTGCACCATCGACCTTAGGAAAAACGAATACCTCTGTTTCAAGTATGATATATCCCCATACTTCATGCCTTTGTTCACAAACTATAGTGAAGAAAAATGTAAGTAAATGGTTTATGATTTCGAGGTTGTTAATTCACAGAAACTCGCCAAACCAGAAATGTTCGTTATCAATTTGGGTTATCTGCTCCAAGTCGTTAAAGAGAATGATTTTACATGTCCAAAATATATTGATTTCTGTAGTTTACATAAAATATCTTAAAACCAGCTACTAATAACGATTAATCAACTCATCGTTTTTGATGGGGCGGTACGAAAAAAAAACAGAACAACTTTGGAATGGCATGCCTAGACCATTTAGTGCAGAATTTCATCTTGGTGTGGGATCTCCTTAATAATTGAAGCTAGGGATGGGATTTATTTTTAAGGACCCTTAAAAAAAGTAATAATATATTAACTCTTTATTTCACATTCAATAGGTAAATTCAAGTTATTCATGCTGTTTTTTTTTTTGTTTTTTTTAATGCTCTTTAATATAAAATAAATTTAAGGTTAATAAGATTAATTCTCGAAAACAAATTAAGTAATATATATGCGCTCGTGCTCAAACGCACAGACACAGACAGACACACACCATATTTTAAATTCATTCAGATAAAATTACTACTATTGACAAAAAAAAGTTATTGTCTGATTATTGAATTTTTTTTTTCAAAGAGACTATCCTGAAATGAAAAAAATTAAAAATCCTCTGTAGGAGCCCAAATATATTTTAAAGAAAAATTATTATAAGAGTTAATACTTCAACTATTCGCGGACCGAAAACCATTAAAGAAAGTTGTTGAAACTCAATTTCACGTAAGGTTTATTGTTTTTTTTTTTTCATTCGTCATACGAACGGTGTACGTAAAGGCTGAGAGGAAAGGTTTTTGCTTGATTTTAAGTTGTTACGTACAACTATTTGTGAAGAAGCCGCTCTGAAATGGATCCCTGAACACTGCGGAATGGACGAGTTGATAAACTTGTTAAGTAATGCTACAAATTACTTCAAATCGCCACCATCTGAGGAAGTTAATACTATAAATGAAATACCTATTCAGAAGAGGTTGAACACGGTGTCTCTTATTATTTGTTTTCCAAAAAAGAACAAATTTTATTTTCATTCTCAGAACTGCTTATAATCGGTTTAATTCCTGTCTCTACATAAAATCAAAAATAGGTCCAACCACTTTGTGTGAATAACGATGTATTAAAAATTTACCACATTCTCCAATCCTGCACCTTTATGAAGAAAGAACAGAAGCAGAGGTGACCTGAACCAAATGACTTTGTATCAGAGCTTTACTACGGTCTGGAGGATCTCTGGAATACCGCCGACTTTATTTGGTTATTTCCAGACTCAGCCTCTTGAAGTTCGAAGGAGAAGCATGGCCCAAGAGTTTATCATGAAAAAAGACTTAAGAAGAACCACATTTAGTTAAAAAAAAGTATTAGGCCTTAGAGGGATGGGCATCCCTGCGCCATTGCTTTGTAAAAGGATCTTGCTACGAGAGTGGATGCTTTTTGCTCCATTTAGTCAACCTCGTTGTACACTAAAGTGTATTGCGATATTTTATCGTGTAAGATGAAACCTACCAACGATTTTTGATGGGTAAATTATCCAATGATTATAAAATGTATGGGTTTTCTCGGGCCGAGTAATAAGGGCGGAGGATTACATAATAAATACGAGTTCGCGTCCCGATGCCGAGGTTTTTTTTAAACTCAAGCATTAATTATGCTTTAGTTTAAAAAAAACCTCGGGACCGGGACGCGAACTCGTAATTATTTAATCAGTGCTATGCACACCCCATCCCTTGAAAGATGATAGCTGCAAGGACTAACTCCCAAAGCATACTCGGAAAACTGCCATGATTTTGAGACCAAGGTGAAGAAAGTACAGAACTGCAATGATCCTTGGTGTTGATTTACCTCAAGAACAAATGAAATGCAGCAATACCTGTGATACATAATTTATTAAATGATAAAACAATTTAAACATTCATATCATTGTATAAACAAGAGTTAGATAAGGATTTAACATGTTTTTGCATTATCTATATGTAGTCAGTCAAATGATATTGTAATTTTTTCAAGAAAGCCAGCTTAATGTTTCATTGTACTCATAAATTTCATTGATATGACTTCAATTAGGTTTCGAGATGACGTATCTTAGGTTACCCACAAATATTTCAACTTCAAGTTTAATAATTAATGAACATGGGACAATCTCCTTTAGACCTGACTATTTCATCCATTATTTTATTACTTTTTTTCCCAGTTTAGAATTATACTGCATGCATAAAAACTCTTAATGGTCACTGCCTAAATAATTTATCAGAATATTAATTCACTGAAAATTTTCATATTAATATTTTGTTTGCAGTCTATGTATTTTTTTGATACTCTGTGAACACTGAGCAGGGTAACTTGGTGAGTAATACATATTCATCCTGTGCTTGGGTTCAAGTCCAACTGTGGCAAATAATTATATAAGCTGTTACTCTATCCTTGGATAGACTATGGGTTCTCCCTAAGGTGGAAGAACCTCTTGGAGAACACCCAGCCTCTACTAAGTGGGTGTACTTACTTCGGGAAAATGTGATGTTTGAGCTTGATTTGTGTCTAATCATTTCCTCGTACTGTAGTCCAAGAAACAGTGCTTCCTTACAAAGTATTGAACTCAAGATCCTTCCTGGGTTGTAGTAGTTTTTTTGTTTTTGTTATTTATGTATCACCAATGTAAACCTGATTCATTACATTTCAATTTATGTTTATTATTATTATTTCAGGTATGGCTTGAACATGAGTCTTGCGGCGGTGGTCATCAAGGCAGCGATGATGAAAGCACTCCCTTGGTTGGTGCCTCTCCCCTTGTCTCGCCTCTTACTCCAGTACCTCCAATGGTCATCACTGTCTCTAGGGCACCATCTACCATCTCCCGGCAGGTTCCTTTTCTTGACCCAGATCCAGAAACAACTCTCTAGTCATTCTCTCTGTCCCTAACTACTCAAATACTTTTTTATGTTCATAATCTCTTTAATGGTACACATTTATATTTTCTAAAGTTTTTTTTAGAGAATTCTGATCGCTATCAGTTATCATTAACTTATGCATTTATTTATCATAATCTTTTTCTCTCTAAATAACTACTGAAACTAATAAAATGTTATAATTTTTATTTTTTGTCATATTTTTATTGCATGACCATTTCTCCATGTATTAGTTGAATTCAGTTAATCTTATAATTTATTGAATGGTGATGAAATCAATTCTTGATTAAAATTTGTTTAAAAATAAATCATATAATGATAGCTGTAAGGGTAATGGATTCCAAATTAAATTGATTTATTTTTGTAATTTTGCAGGTCAGGTTATTCAATTAACAAAAGTTGTTCTGGTTTTTTTTTTTTTTTGAAGTGTCGCTATGCCTAATTAATTATGATGATTAATTACCATGGTTAATCATGATAATTAGGTAGATTTTCATGTTGTCTATAAATAAAATATCTTGATGACTTAATGAAACTTAAAAATGTACCCATGTGGAAAGTTATATTTAAAGTTTAAATCATAATGAACTTCCACTTATCACACAATTGCAATAAAGTTGCTGATTACTGAAATTTTTCTATTATAAAACAAATTTAGGAGATAAAAACTATTTTGCACATAGAACATTAAATTTTCTTTGGAAAACAGAAAAAAAAATTAAGTATATAGTAGTGGGTAAAGCAGATTTCTCTATGTAAAATCCACTGATTTTCGTCCACAATAATGTGATTTTCAAAGGCATACTTTGAATCTTGGTTTGATATGAGCTTTATAGTTCCATGTAACATAATTAAAATTTAAAAGTAAAAAAAAAAATCAATTAGTTGCTATTTAGTGTTAAATTTAACCAAGAATACTATAGGCTCTTAATGTGCTATTGCTGAGATGGTTATTTTATATTTTGATTATTATTTATTAAACAATGTAACTGAAAATTATTCAACCTGTTTTCTCAAAATGGCATCTAATGGAGGGATCAGATTAGTTTATTTCCTATTTACTGAAGGCATACGTTATGTTTAATGTCTAATCATTCAATTTTATTGTTGTTGTTATTTATATAATATAGGATTTCATTATATATTATATATTTGTACTTACAATTAAATTAGCATATTACTGTAGTATTAAGGTTCAGAAATGGTGCTTTTTATTTGTGATAATACTGCTCTTTAATACACATTCAGTATTAGAAAGATGATGAAAGGTAACCCTGGCATGGCTGTTGAAATATTTTCCATCTTAAAAGCTTGCCAAATAATTCAAATTTTATAATTATTTCTTTATATATTTTATGAATTTGTCACTTACATACCTCTTTTACATTCCTTTATGAAATTATATTACAAACACTAGTTTCTATTTTTATTTATTATTATTTTCTTTCAGGTACATTTTTTAACAAGAGATGTATAAATGTTTTGTTGTAAAAAATTTTTATTAATTTTTTCCAGATCAATTCGTTAAATTTTTACTAAATATAGATTTTTAACTAATTATTAACAATTTTAAGATTTTAAATTTAGATAACATTAATATTTCAGAATATTAAAATAAAAATAATTATAATATCTTTTTAGTCACAATTTTTCTGTTAAGGCATTATGTAATACAATTAATTATTGAAGTAGAAATTCAAATCCTTACTAAACCTTATTTATTAGCATTTCTGTGCTGTTTTAAATTTATATCGCTTCTGTTTATGTGATTTATAGATTATCTAATCTTCAAAGCATGATTGATCAATAATGAATCATGAATTCATTTAAGAAAAATCAATTTATTTCTCTTAATTTAGATTGTTTTGGGTCTTTTTTACTGAGCTACTGCAAATCACTTTTAAATAAAAACATATGATTATCATTTAAGTTTTTTTAACTCCTACTGATAGGGTTATTTATTATGTACGTAGTCTATTTATAATACGTGTTTAGATACTAATAAAAATGAATGAAATTTTGCAATTATCTGTCACATTCCAGAGTGAAAAAACGTGCTTCAGTTACTCCATAAAGCACGAATATTGTACATATTTATTTTTTTATTTGAAAATTAGGTTATAACTATGTAATGATAGTTATTAAAAATTATGTAAATTGTGACAAAGAAATCATATGTTTTTATAGAAAATTGATTTACAGTAACAAAATAAAAAATACTCTTTGTTTTTAAATAGATACTACAAATGCTAAAACATAAACTGTTATTAAATAAAACTTAAAAAACTGTTAAATTCTTGATGTTTCCATAGATTGTTATTCATATATAACAATTAAACCAGATGTGATTATGTAATCCAAAGAGTGATTTGTGATTGGTGGTTATTGTTAATGTAAATGAAGCAGTATTATTATTTTTTTAGAAAAAAAAACTTTATTTTATTATTTAGTTTAGACCTGAATGGATGTAATATTTTATTGAATTTATTATGTATACCTGTATAATAACATAAAATATATTGTTGTTGCGAGAAGTGTATTTTCTTTGAGTTCAGCATATGCCTAGACATATAAAAGTTAAGCATTATCCTATGTTCCTATAATTATGTTAATATTTGTATTTACTCCATTATTTTTTCTCAATTGTATAGAATTCAATTATAGTGATGACTTCATTTAGTTGAACTCCGCACTCCTTTGCAACTTTCTCCAAGCTAGTCTCATTCTGTTTTCAACAAATATCACTCTTCAATTTTTAATGCATTAATCAGAAATAATAACTAGCTGAATGTATCTATTTATTTCTTATGAGTTGACTAAACTATGTAGACAAAGGCGCACTACATAGTTCATGAGCTTTGTTAGTTTTCGTTTCATAATTCTGAAGTTGATTTATTTACTATGTTTATTGAAGGGAGGAGAGTGGGAAATGTTCCAATAAATTGAGGTAAAAGAGCAGACAGAACATGTATATTGTAAATCTAAGATATATAAATTTTAAAGATTTGTTTTACTGTCTTGTACTGATAATTACAGCACTCTGTTCCAATGCTTGACTTTCCTAGGTTTCCTTTTGGATTTTTTCAAAAATCCGCATCTAAAAAAAAAAATAATAATAATAGGATGCAATGTCTAACACACTCTTTTTTCGTGAATGATTATCAATTTATAACCTGTAGCGAGTAATGATTTCTAATAAGAAAGCCAGGATGGAAAATGTGATGCCATAAACCATAACTAACAGAGCTGGTCTGAAATCTGTCAACCCTACGCTTACATATCCTCTTCCACTGTTGTCACAGACAGGCTTCTTGGGCAACCATCTTTGTCTAATTCTTGAATGAAGGCCAACATCCCTTTGCCACGTATTCCTAAGGAAGTTATTAAAATTATTATCAACTACTCTAAAAAATAAATATTTGCGTATTAATTATTCAAAAGAAAGTACATTCTAGTGAAATGCTCGCGATATCCGGACTTCTTGACAACTGGTATAGACAATTTAGGTAGAAGAAATATTCTCATTTCATCCAAATCACACTTCTCGTTTTCATGAAATGTGTCAGAAATTATTTTATAGCCCCAATGAGTTTCAACCTGGAACATGAAAACAATGGATTTTACTTCAAATAAATTCATTTTACAAATTTATAGAAGTTTCTACACAGTGGAGAAATTATACTTCCAGCTTGCGTAGGATCTTCAAATTAACATAAAATTTTAAATAATTATACAAGCTGCGCCTAATTAAAACAACTTTTTGAAGATAATGTAACACAGTGCCGCCTTACACATTCGGCGCCCCAAAAAGGGCTATGACGTCATCTCCCACGTAAAAAACTAAATTTATTTCTTAAGCTGTTTTATGTTATATAATATTTGAATTTTATTTCATTCAATATTTCTCTAATACATTCAATATTTCTCTTATTTGAACACTGCCCTGCCGGTAAGGCAATACGGGTTTTGTGCAGCAGTGAGTACGCATGCGTTACAACTCACTACTTAATTTAGTTCCATCTCTTCTTTCCAATGAAAAGTGGGTTGAACCAACTAGTTCCTTCTATCCGTTCACGGAGCTTTTGTAGTACAGGTAGTTCTCCTTAGTCATTAGTTGAGGGAGATCGCTCTCCGTCAGAACGTAAAGTCCTGTCTCCCTCAACAACTTGGCCTTCAGTGCCTCAAAGGCGGTACAGACAAGGACGATATTCTGGGCGATTTTGGATGATCCGCAACTTGGACATAGCAGTGTTCTTACCATATTCAACGAGCTTTGCTCGAAAACCTCCAAGCAAAAATAATCTGAATGAATCAGTTTCGAACCTCGAATCTTCACTCAAGAAGTCCAGCACTATAACCACTAGACCATTCAAGCCATATGCTGCTTCATTGATGTGCTAAAATTAATTATATTATAACTTTTGTATTTCTAACAAGTAGTGAGCGTCCCTTTGGATCAGTCGGCGCTCCCAGCGGACGATTGTCCCTCCCTAAAGCCGGCATTGATGTAACATAATAAATATGCTCTGGGGTAACTGGGTCATGAATTTAAATAACTTCATCAATAGGGGATCCAAGGGATCTCATTTTAGCTGGCTTGGTTTTTTTTTTTAATAGCAATAATTGCTTTGGGGGGAAAAGAAAGAAACTATAAAATAATGTTTAAATGGTGCTTGAAGGACTGTCAAAAATTAAATTAAAAAATAATAATACTTTTAAGGATATATTTTTTCCATGGAGCATTAACTAGCTGAAATACACATAACATAATTTAAAACTAGTAAATATTTTTTTGTTTAAGTATTTAGCTCTGATTACTCACAGAAACAAATATTAAAAAATATATATTTTTCTCTTTTTGAAGAGGGGTGAGAAGGAGGGGCTCAGTCCGAAGCCCTCTCCGTAGATCCGTTCTTGCTTCAAGTTACTGTCTTGAAACTGTAGTTTATTATAAGTCGCACACAACTTATTGTAAAATATTGTATGATCATTCAGCAATCAACAAACAAACATGTTACCATTTAAAGTTATTTTATATTCATATATATATATATATATATATATATATATATATATATATATATATATATATATATATATATATATATATATATTTTTTTTTTTGTCCTATTTATCAAGTTGCCTCGTAAACTCAAGTTAACTGGATCACTTCAGAATATATTTTTTAAGACCGAAGGAATTTCAAGTGTCAGGGGATCTATCGTTGTACATTCAAGTGCTTTAGAAACATAATCGATATGATCAATTATTCGGTTTAAGTATACTTTCTGGACATCGAATAGGAATCTTAAATACTTTGTAAAGAAAAATAAGCAATGGAAAGTAAGAAAAAGTAATATAATTGAACATTTTTTAAAAGAAATCAGTGTCTTACCAAGAAATTGCAAAAAAAAAAAAAAAAAAAATGATACTGCGTGTACTCATAATTTTCATGATGGCGAGAAATAGATAGGTACGAGGAAGAGATTGAAGAAATCATACATGAGGTATCCATAGGGGGCAGCCTAATGTTATTACCGCAACTGTGGGGAACAATCCTACAGAAGTTGAAAATAAAAGGGTAAAAGCAAGTGGTAGAAACCAGCCTTCAGAACTTGGGGTTGCCAAAAATAAAGGAGGAAGGCAGGAATCGAAAAATAAAAATTTCTGATAAATTTCTAGAAGACGGGTAAAGATTTTATTGATTAAGTTCGCTACTGGAAGAACGAATAGAACCCTCAGATAGTTAGTACCTTCATTGATAGTGAATATTGTTACCGAGAGGCATTTTTAAATGTTTTTATTTCGATTTAGAATTGAATGGATATATTGTCATATACATTTGGAAATCAAGAAATGGATAAGTCATTTATTTACCAAGATATTTAAAAAAAAATGAATACATATATAGTGAATGATATAATTAAACATTGACAGGACAAGACCATGTAGCAAATTTCTGAAAAAGGTATCAGAAAATATGAAGAAATCCTTACATGCTTTATGCTTTGTGGATTTGCACAAGTCATTTGACAGAATCAAAAAGACATCGCGAATGAGTTCGTTAAAGAGAAGTGCAGAAAGGGCGATTTTAGGATTGGAATGAGTGGAACATGAAACTATCCTCGCATATGCAGTTAACGACATATTTTCGTAAGAACGTGGAAAATCTCCAGTTTAATCTTTGAAACCTTCAGTTACTAGTTGCTTCAGTGAATATGAAAATAGACCTTTTCTTAAAAAAAAAATGAAAAAGATATTATAGACCATTTATATAATAATATATATTTAATACATTACTAATTACATCAAAAGCAAACATTCCAGATCTCAGTTTTTTTATTCCTTCAACTGGGCTAAGGTAGGCCTTTGGTCCTATTGACGCAATCTTCTTACTATAAAGCTCTCTGACATCCTGATCAGTGGCTTCCTATATAAATCATAAAAATGGTGGATACATTCAAATTTAGTTTTGAAGATGTTTATTATTCAAAAATTCATGACTTTCTTTAATTATTAATTTTACAAACCGAACAAAGTTAAGCTGGGGTTGAACTAAAATCATAAGAGAATCTTGGAAATGGATAAATATTGTTCCATCTTGTTATATTATTTAACATATATCACAATAGTAATGAAAAAAAATAATTTGAAGAAACCAACATCTTATGTAGGTATATATACAATATTGTTTCCTTATTAAACTACAAATGGTTTTATCTTGTTCATCCGGTAACGCTCTGTTCGAACCAAGCTTAACTTTTCGTTCAACCACAAATTAACAAAAATATTAGTCCTGTGACCTAAGGAAATTAAGGATTGGTACAATAAACTAAAGGAAGCCAGCCTAATTACTTTAATTATAGAAATAGACAGGAAATTCCAAAAGAAGGATTTGTCAAAGGGAGTTGATGTAAGCAGAGGTTAATATGTTGGGTTCTGTAGTATAAAATATGGATTAGGAAAGGTATTAAAAGAAGTTTAAGGATATAAAAAGGTTTATTACTTTTTATAGATTATAGTTTAGAATAATGTATTTCTATATAAGTACTTATGGGCGAACTTGTCACAGTAGTTTATCCTTTGAAGGAGTCCCCAAGTTTAACTTCACCATATTGTCGACAAAAACCAATAATGTTACCAGGATGGTTTAAATTACTTAAAACATTTGAGCATAAATTACAAGAGACAATTATTATCTAAATTAGATGAAGACAACATCTCTTTCCAGTAAGTTCACAACAAAAATGTGATCGATGCAGTAACGGCTAAAAACACTAGAAAACTATTAAATATAATTGATGGAGACAAGGCTAAAGATACTCCCATCTCCTTCTCCTCCCCACCCATACAAACAGGATCCTGAGCTATGTATGCGTCCAAGAATCCCAGAGATAAATTATATATGATTTTTTTTTTTTATTATTTATACAATATTTACAACTGAAAAAAAATATATCTAGTAAATTCGTACATGTATATAATGACATGAAACACATGTTGAGAAACTACACACTGGTAGCACTCTAATAATATGTATATATTAGCAGATCACGGGTCCATCTTCTTTTCAGACGCCTCGGAGGGTTATCAGGAATTGAATAGGAAGCAAGGTTAGAAATAAGAGGGTTGGGATGGTTATGAAGTTTATTATGGATGGATAGATATCTGGATTGGGCCAAATCTGAAACATAAGAAACATTAAGGTCATTGTGGATGATTTTATTTGTAACAAAGTAAGGAGCATTGAGGATTTTACGAAGTATTTTGGATTGTAAGGATAGGATACGAGAGGAATTTGAAGGTGGAGCCCCACAGCTCAACTCCGTAAGTCCAAATAGGGCTTATTATAGTCATGTATATGAGTCTTTTGTAATTAATTGGAAGGTTAGAGCGTTTGTCTAGTAAGTGCTGAAGTAATCGGAAACGTCGAGCGGTTTCTTGTCGTTTCAGTCTGGTATGAGGATTCCAAGTTAGACGTTTGTCTAGGTGTAGTCCTAGGTAACGGGTTTGTTCAACAGAAATAAGCGAGATATTGTTAAAGGATACTGAAGGGCATATATGAAATGAAAATAATTTTACTATCGGAACGGTTGTCTTTTTAGAACTAATTAAACTGGGGGTAAATGGGTTTTGAGCTTGAAAAGCAAGCCATCGTGCCACACCCGGTCGAAAGCTTGCGCTACGTCCAGAAAGGTACCAGTGCAATATTCTTGTTTTCCAGTACAGAGGATATATGGTCTACAACATGAAGGCCTTATTGGACAGTGGATGGTCTTGAGCGGAATCCAATCTAATGAGAGAAGGGATTCATAATGCTTTTATGAATATTTTTTCTTGACAAGTGCTTCCATTTTGTAGCTGTATATTCGTTATAATTTAAAAAGAGTACACATATTAAGTATTTAACTCAGATCAATCAGATGTAATTCAATAACAAATAGAGACCAATGAAAAAAAAAAAAAAATTTGGGGGAGTGCCTTCTGCGTGAAATTCCCTCCCTCGCTGCTAGTGTTGCTCAAAATTGGCCTTGATCTTGCAATGGCAAGACCAAGCCTAACTGTTGCAAGACCAAGACCAAGGCTGGTAAAATAAAAGTCGATTTTTGAATAAAAATTAAGGCAAAATAGTTACTAATACTTGACAATTTTAGTTAATATATGTAAAGAATTTGTATAACCAATATACTTATATATACGGGTTTAGTTAGGTTTCTTCTATCTAAAAAATTCCATTGATATATGTACAGTAACAAGCTAATAAATAACTGCGAGACTGTCGCGAGACTCTTGTGCAAGACCAAGACCAAGCGCAAGACTCAGTTCGCAAGACCAAGACCAAGCGCAAGACTCAGTTCGCAAGACCAAGACTCGTCTTGATCTCGCACTTGGGCAACACTACTCGCTGCCATAGATCCACCAGTGTAGATAATAATAATTTAATCAGAACAGTGGTGATAATGTCACACGTTATATGATAATCAAACCTGATGTCGAGGTTATGGATACCTACTCCGAAAAATATTTTATTATATATAACATCTTGTATTCCAATCCCAAGAGGACTGCTCGTGAGATCTGAGAGACTCCGAAAAGTAGCTGAAGAAGATTGAAGAAGTGCCACGATGTTCGCCGAATAGGAAGTGTAGAAGAAGAGACAACATAGAGAGAATAAAAATATGATGATCCTCGCTGAGAGTGTTTTTGGCACTAGTGAGGTACCTATGAACAATACATCCATACAAGAGTACAAGAGAGACTGGGCAATATTGTATGATTTGTTATTCAAATAATTTAGTCAATAAAATTTCACTATTTTTTAGCCAATGAAGACTGTTGCAATAAATAACTATTTTAGATTATACATTATTCGCTATTATAATAGTATGGTATTCATTAACACTCTCGGCCACCACAACAATCAGCTTGAAACTCCGTTTTTGAAACTGCATAAAATGGTAGATTAACCATTACTGATCCCCAACAAAAAAAAACAAAATAAACGTTATTACAAAGCGGCCTAAATTTCTGTGAACTTTTAACCTCTGAACTATCTATTTCCATTTAAAAAATATAAGTTTTTAGAACTATTACAAAAAAATGTATTGTACTTGTAAGTTAAACAATTTTAAGTAATTTAACTTAAGTTAGAATATGTCGAAATTGTCAAGATTGTTTACTTCTGTCAGTTTTATTGTCTCATTTCTAAGTCATACCAGTTGTACTTGATAATTTTAATTTTTCTGTGTTCATTATTTTCGAAAATGCTACTACAATAAAGTACCTTGCTGACAGATGCAACCTATAATCAGAATAACGACTAAAATTTAATTACAAGGTTTTCATTGCCTGCCAAGTGGATAATGATGTTTTTCATAGAGCTTAAATTAATCATATTATTCACTGATTTAATTTTATAACATGTTACTTTTTTTAAAATATATGAAAAATTTGTACCTTGCTGGCAAATGCAACCTATAATCAGGGTGACAACATCGGCCGTAGTAACCAGCTCTTCAAAGGTCTGCCGATTGCCGAAAGAAGTCGCAACATCGGCCATCAAGAAGAGGCCAGTAAGAACAGCCAGGGCAGCGCAGCAGAGCCATACCATTCGGGTGAACGGAAGGACAAAGATGTTGGAGACAGCCGAAAGTGCTGGCTGCTTGTAAATTAAGAGGCTCCTGGACGAGAAAGATAGGGGTGACAATAAGATACTGAAAGTGCATTTATTTACAGCAATATATATATATATAAATGATTTTCTAAATTAATTTTTTTAAATGGTTTCAGTGCCGGTTCATGGGGCTATTCAATGATTTCCTTGATAGAGCATATTTCCTGAGAAAGTAGAAGATATATATGTAGTACAAAATATAAAAGCTAAGTCACCTGCAAAAACGTAGATCTCTCCTTCCTTCAGGCACTAGCGGATCCAGGATTTAGTTTTTTTTTTAGGGAGGCTTTAGCCCGAAACCTATATATGTATATAACAATACTTATTTTGGAAAACAAAGAAAGATACTAACTACGTATATGAAATGGTGTTTAAGTGATTCTATAATTCTTATTAAATTAAATTACACGTACAACAATAATTTAATAGATAATTTTTTTATATTTTTTTCCGTAAAATATGGTTGCATTTTACCATTTTGGGGGGCCACCACCTGTGCCTGCAGGGTTGTCCATCCTTCCCAAGGCCGATGGCGCAAGAACTCTTTCCTCCCCTAAAGATATTTTATTGCTCATATCTTCTTAAAAACATTGCAAGCAAAAGTAGGATTATAAAAATCATAGATCATATAAAATTACAGATGCTGCAGTTTGCTCCATTTTTCTCCTTGCCCTCTGGTTTAAAACTTTTCATTTCGCAAATTCATAACACGCCGTCGAAATGTGCCCTCCTGCCTCCTCAAAAATATAAAAAAACCTTCTCCCCTCAAAAACCTTGATGGCGCAACTTGCATCATTAAACCCTCGTTTGGACATCCCTGCCTCCCTGGGAGGAGAAGGGTTAAGTTACCTAAACCACGGGCCGATTTATTTTTGAAGTCTTAATTTTTTCTTTAATTTATTTTTTCCGATGACGTTATTGATTTTTTTAAAAAATCAAGAACCCTCTCGGGCTCCCTTAGGAAGACAGTGCTATTTTAAATATTTTATAATTGAATTAAAAACGGATAATGTAGAAAAGTGATGGGATAGAAGGACTTCACGCAGATTGTAAAACATGGCAGAAGCCTTTTTTAGCTGAAAAAGGATACCCATGCAGTACATTATGTGCTCCAAACCACAAAAGAAAACCTTCTGAAAATTTTTCAGAATCTTATATTTAGGAAAAATTGCATTTAGCAACTTGTAGAACTGAATTATTCAATTATTAACGATCGGCTCACTTGATTTCAAAAGTGTCTCCTGTGAAGTCGACCGTCTCTATCCTGTCTGGTCTCATAAAGATCCCAATCACTCCCATGTCAATCTCTTCTCTCTGCAAGAGACCCATGAGTCCACTGAAGGTATTGTTGGTCTTCCAACCATAATCGTTGAGAATTAGGAAAGTTAGTCTGTAAATATGGAAGAAATAAAAGATTTACCATACTTTATTAACAGCTTCGTAAACACATTACTACATAAAATATTTTACTCACGTAAAATTAAGTTGTTCCTGTAAATGCTGTGATATGGGAAAACCAGTTTTCGCAATGGTATCTACTTCTGGATGATCACGACAATCAAATCCGCAGAACATATGTGGGAAGTACAACTGGGAGGAAATAGTTATAAGTAATGTTCTAATTTTTAATTATTTATATTGCCATATCCATTGTATACAAATTTTTATTCAGTAATTATAACAACCTACCTCACACAACTAGGTCTACATACACAAAATGAAATAAGCAACAACAGCTCACATACATAAACCTAGAAATTAAATATTTTCTAATTTTCACCTGTGACAGGAATAGCTACCGATGTGTAAACGAGAAAAAGGCAGATCTGTAACTTTCATTTTTAAAAATCACCCTTGTGGATATAACATCACTTTCTAAAACGTATGCCCTCCTAAAAAGTTGTGAATTGTTCTGTTCACCCATTTAACAGAACTCCGACGATATATTTACTCAAAGTTTGGCTAATGAGTGTATAATCAAACCTAGCCCCTAATCCCAATTTCTCCAAATAAGCCTCAAACCTTGAATTATTGAGGGCGAAGACATTACTCTCTGAACTTTTTTTTCTTTATTTATTGAGTGTTACTGAACTTAAGTGAGAGTTTAATAACTATACAGGATGTTTCATAATTTCACACTATTTTAGGTATGTGTTCACTAAAACAAAATAAACAAAAAAGTTCATATTAACATATATCTCGAACTTATTTATTAAACGGATATCAAAGGTTAAAGATTTGTTATTTATTTACTACGTTAAGACTGACTGTACAAAGTTTAACGTGTTTAATACTAAATAGCAGGTTTTAATCACCTGATAAACAAATGAACGATAAGCAATGACATTAGTTGCTCATCTGTTTGTCTAGTTCTGTGTGTTTTAGTGTGAGTTAAGACTGTGCACAGTTCAATTTATGATTGTCATGGGAGACACCATAAATTTATCCACTTTTGCAGAACAAACAGATATGCTTTTTAACTTATGGCGAGGTAAATAAAGAAGTGCTCGTGCTGTTCGAAGATATCGTGAAAATTTTCCTAACCGAAGAAAACGTTTGAGGCCATTGAAAGACGCCTTAGGGATAATGGCACGCCAAAACCTATACGAGCAAACATCGGTCGACAAAGATTTAGACGAGCTGCAAACGTTAAAGAAGAAATCCTCGATGCTGTTCAGTTATCTCCTACTACTAGTACCAGAAAATTATTAGGTGGTTTCGATGTTTCCTCTACCAGCGTATGGCGAACTTTACGCGAACAGCAATTGTATCCATTTCACGTATCGAGTAGACAAGATTTTTACCACAAGATTATAACTATATATAAATTGCGCATAAATTTCTCCCAGTGGTTAATTCGACAATGCACACGAGATCCTAACTTCCTGAACTGCATTTTGGTTACTGATGAATCTTGCTTTACAAGAAACGGGATTCTTAATTTTCAAAATACCCATACTTGTGCTGAAGAAAACCCTCACACGACTGCTGTTGGACATTACCAACATACCTTTTTTTTTAATGTCTGATGTGGTCTTCTAAGCGACATCATCGGCCCCTTCTTTTTGCCAGGTGCATATCTTATTTGCATTTTTTGCAAAATAATCTTCATGAACTCCAAGAAGATATTCCGCTAGGCATTAGGCAAAGGCTTATGCATGGCGGTGCTCCAGCTCACTTTTCTAATAGTGTCACTGATTACTTAAATGCAACTTATGAAGACCGAAGGGTTGGTCGAAACGGACCTGTTAAATGATCACCACCATCTCCGGATTTAACGCCATCAGATTATTTTTTTGGGCCTGGATGAAGTCTATTGTTTATTCTGCGACAGTTTGCATGAAAGAAGAGCTAAGAAATCGGATCGTGGAAGCCGCAGTAACTATCAAGCACCATCTTGATGCTATACGAAAAGCCAGAAATACATGAATTCCTCGTAGTGAATGTTGCATTCAACAAAACGGAGGCTCCTACTCTAAATGTTGTAATAATAATAAATAAATACTAATAATAAATAATGAATCTTTAACCTTTGATATCTGTTTAATAAATGAGTTTGAGATATATGTTAATATGAACTTTTTTGTTTATTTTGCGTTAGTGAAAAAATACCTAAAATAGTGCCGTGCAATTACGAAACACCCTGTAGACACTTGAGTGGAAAAGGAATGGCTTAAACTGGGAGAGGGTTGATCCATAAATTTAAATTATAACAAAATTTGTTACTGAAATTTAGAAAACGTTGGAATTTAAGGATATAATTAGGGAATGAATCAGAGTTTTGTATGAAACACAAATTGGAGCATCGGACATAGTTCTTTATCACTATATTACATTATTTAACTGAATATATGTACTGAATGAAAAAAATGAACATTAAAATAGCCTCTTACATCTCATTTTTAAAAAGTTCCATTTTAAAAGTTCTTATGAAACTTTTTAGGAAAAAAGTTCTTAAATAAAAGTTCTAAGGAACTTGTTTTTATTAAATTTCTAGATTTACGGTAAAAGAACAACTTTTTACAATTTATTTAAATTCTTTTAAAAAGTTCCATTAAATGAGAAATAATCAGTAAATGGGATTGGAGTTATAATTTGTCTTAAATTAATTGCACATGATTCCTACGTGTCGTTTGTTTGAGTAGCTAAAATAAAAACCATTTTAAGTTCGACTGTTAAGCGAAATCGATAGAACCTTTAAATAAAAGTTTTTAAAAATAAAATGTCTATAAAACCTTTAATAGTAAAGTCGCAAAGAAAAAAGTTCTAGAAGAACTGAAACATTATCGACAACAAAAATTCCAGTGATGCCGGAACTTTTTAAAAATAAAACGTTAAAAATAAAAAGACGACCTGCAAAGTGGGTCGAAACGTCGGCAAAAATTAAAATTATTTATACATTTTAATTTTTTTATTTATTTGACCGCACCCTCGACTAACTCCTTCTCATATCATATCAACGGTCAACCATCTCTACATCATTATAAAACGTTATTGTTTTCGTTTCAAGCCCTGATCAAAACACATTGTTAAAAGTAAACGAATGGAGCAAAAAGACTCCCTTAATATGAGAATCATGTTTAATTAGGACATGTGACTCACCACTGCTGCTCCTAAGAGCGATATACCCTCGAAATCCTTCCTATTTGGCCTGTCCGGCAACTGGATGAACTGTTCCAGTGTCTGGTTGGCCAGCAGGGTGTATTTGAGAGGCCTGTAGGGACTTGTCCGGTATACATCCCAGTAGACCACTTCTGTGCCCAGTACCTGAGCAACGGTGACACAGCTGCCAGGAAGGATGTAAGCGTCTTCAATCACATCCAAGCTGCTCCCGTCATCCAATAGCAGCCATTCTGTATGCACTCCCATAGTCTTATCCCTGGTGAACTGGAAATTATTGGAAACAAACAATAGTAAATTTTTCCGAGAGTTGCATAGATTAGGAGTTCTGAGAAAAAAACCCCGACGAAAACAGATATTTGTAGTGAAATAAGCAGTCAACATTCTCTACATCTTCACCCGTTGGCCCTACGTCAAAAACCTATATATAAAGTTGATAATAAATCTTCTTTAACTTTGTATACAATAAAAACTTTTTAAAAATGCAGAATTTCGGAATCATATAAAAAAAAGTTTGGAAATGTAGCTTTTTTTTTTGCATTTATCTCAGAACGCAATGGAAAATTTCATTCGGGAACATCAAATTCAGAATCAGCATCCCAAAGAACACATAAAACCGAAGAGAAACCGACTATTTGAATTTTTTGATTTATTATTTATTCTCATCCAACTCATTATTCGACCGGACTAATTTGATGACTTTGACACGTCGTCGGTTTTCAAAACGCAAGAGGGTACATCGTCAGTCAAGGTGAATTCTCTTTTAGGGACATATTCTTTACAACATATCAAAATTTCGGCCGTATGTTCTTCCGTTAAATGAACTGTTCAATTTAAATTAATTTAAATCGTCGGAAAGTATACGGATGTGATTGCCAGACAAGTTCAGATATTCCTTATCGATATCGCTGTCGACGTATGGTATCGATTTTAGTATAATACCGAATCAAAAATATTGACATCGCCAATATCAAATGATATTTATGTTTAAAGAAAATCACTGAACACGTACATTATCAATATCATACTGAAACTGATTGAAGACGAAGAAAAATTCAAAATCAATCGAAATTTACCACATAAACGATAAAATTTGTACATTCCTGAAACTTTGATCATATCCTCGGCTTGAAAGTAGGAACCATGACCTGTAGGAGCGGAATATTTGTAAAATAATTTGCACAAAGTCGACTCAGGCACCGCTAAGTATAGCTGTTTTATTTCTGAATTGTATGTGGCGACATCAATGATAATAGAGTCAATATTTTCAAAGTTGATTTTCCACAATATTTTTCTGAAAATGTTGTTCTAAGAATAAAACAGGAAATGATTGTATCTAGTAATTAATTGATAGTGATTAATTAACAAGAAGCTAACAAGATTTGTTATCGTATTTCAAATATGAAGTGTTCCTACCATTTATAATAGAATTTAGCCAAATTGTCGTTTTAATTGTAATCAGTATAAATTATATTTATACTTTACTTTGATAGTTGTTAACAAGTTTTACCTTTAATAGTTAGTACAAGAAACAACTGAGAAAATTTAAATTTCTCAATAACTTAATGTTAATTTTAAAAAACAGACCTGTCCAAAAAACACATTTTAGCCATTGGTATGTCTGTCTGTCTGTAGGAAGATTTTCTCGGAAACTACTAAACCCATTTTGTTTTATTATCCGTTTTTGAAAGGTAATGAAATTCCCTACAAAACTATTTAAAAAACGTTCATTTTGGACAACTATTAACGAAGTTACAGCTATTCAATTTCCAATGTAAGATTACGGATACATATACCCTGGTGTCAGAAAGGGATGAATGAGAGAAAAAAGGTAACTAAGTGAAATTAAGAAAATCTGTTGCTCGCATCACACAATCTACACTATTTCCTCTACCTCTAACAGAAATTATTGTTTGACAAAATTAGGCAATGGCAAAAAGTTTTTCATCATCAATATTAGAGGGTATTGAAATTTTTACACTGATATACCTTAAGCCGGTTTACATTGCTTTAGTTTATCAAATAAATCGTACTAAAATCTTTTCTTTGATCAATTTTCAGGAAAATAAATCTAATTCAATTTTTTTTTTTTTTTTTTTTTGTTTCTTTATGGACGTATGTAAAGATATAAAAACTTTTCTGAAATAGGTGTGAAAGCCGTGTGAGTTGACACACCAGATTTTTCATTCTAAAGGGCGTTCCTGGATAAAATGGTAGTGAACTTAAAATATGAATTTGGAATCTCAAAACAAAATTTCTTCTAAAAATTTGATCACAAATGTTTCGCACAAAGGATATTGACTTCTGTAGTTATACTATCAGGAATTAGGAATAAACAATTTTGAAAATATAATTATATCTTAATAGATTTTTAATAATTATAATAATTGCTATGAAATAATAAATATTAAGCCGTTTCAATATTTTCTTTTAATTAATCCTATGTATGATTCTGAACACAATTTTCATCATATTTGAAATAAATTAAAATGGTCCCACCTAACTCATATGTTTTGGTTTTAAATAATTAATAACTATAATACATAATTAACAACAAATAATAAATAAATAATAATAAAAGACTGATGAGTATGATGCGTGATTTAGCAACTTAATACAGTTGAGCAGCCATGCAATATTACTGTAGTACTATACTCATCTTATGAGAATTAAATTCGATAAATTAAATTGAAGATTTCAAATTCAATAAAAAAATTTAATTTGAAGTCCTAAATAAATAATCAATAATAATATAAAAAATAATCTAAAATATGACCTTCTTTGGATACCTCTTGCGATTTTCCAATGTCATGTGATAAAAGAGCCAAATAGTTTCTTACCTTCAAAATTAAATAATAATATGATTTCTGTACCAGAAAAATGTGAACCAAAAAATTAGGATTGCGAAGTATAGTATTAACATGCATAATTCTAAAAATTAAAATCAAAACAATGAATATACTGAATAAGATTTTGCTCTATACCTACTTGATGAATTATGCCGAGACTAAAGTTGCAAGTCAAATCGAGGACACCTCCTGATCTCCTAATTGGCAAGTCATCAACAGTATCCGGAGAAAATGACACAAGAAAACCATCAGCAGAAAGTTTACTTAAAATTGCCGTCTTCTTGACTGAAATTTTAACATTGTCAAATGTTCGTTTTAAAAAAAAAAGAACAGTTTTTTTTTAAAGATCATAGCCCTAAGACATGCTAAGTCTATTAAATTTAATTTTCATAATATTAGGTTTATATTAGGGATATACGGATTTATTTAAGCTGACCCTAAGGATATATTTCTCTTTTTTTTTTTAATGAGAAAACAAATAAGCCGAGGTTCACTGCCGATACCACCGATTGCTGTTTACAGACTTTCGTCCACGGACACTCTTTAAAACCGAATTTTTTATCCTCAAACTTATGTAGCGGTCTACCTCTCGGACGTTTACTAGTCGGCTCAGCGATTATTCATTTTCTAGAAGTTTTTTGTTTATAGATCCCCACAACATTACAGCCATAACAACCCTATTAGTCCGAGAGCCAGTAAGAAAAAAATCGACATTTTCTTTTAAGTAAGCGGAATGAGCGAATCGACAGTGAAGTTCTATAGGGTGTCCTCCAGAGTATTCACCCTCACTTATTTTATAAGTAATGGTTTAATTGAGCTTTCCTGAACTTTTCACGAAAATCTCAAATTCCACTAGTTTGCGCAAATGTTAACAATCTTCATTGAAATTATTTTTCCATACCCATATATATATATATATATATATATATATATATATATATATATATATATATATGTGTGTGTGTGTGTGTGTGTGTGTGTGTGTGTGTGTGAAATTTCTTGAAGAATTGATACGTTATTTGAGTTATTACATTTCGCCTTGAATGCGTATAAAGTACGCATCTTTAAAAAGAAATACTTTTAATTTTGTCAATGACAACATGTGGTGCATGATTGTTAAGAACTTTTTGATGTTGAATTTTGTGGTGATATTTTTCAAGAAAACGCCCATGTTTAATATAGTCAATGTTAACATGGGAGAAAACAAATACATGAACATACACAATTATTTTTATTTAACTATAATTATTCATTTTTTTTATGTAATTAAGTCTTGTTAATGTCCCTCGGTTTTTTTTTTTTAACAAAACAGATTTCTTTTTTAACTGAGAAAAAGAAGAAAATTCCATTTACAGCTCTTAAAGTTAATGGGTATTGGAACTAAAACAACTGCGCAAAAAAAAAAAAAAACATATTTACCTATCTTTATTTAAAATCAGTGAATACAATCCAATACGCTTTAACTTACATCTTATTTAGACGTGGATATCGACACAATTTGCTATATTGATTTTACTGTTAATACACAAAAAGTGGTAGCTTTGGGGCTCCACTAAACCATCGAATTTCTCTTGTATCCAAACCTTACAATTCAAAATCCTCAGTGCTCCCTACTTTGTTCCAAATAAAACCATTCATAATGACCTTAATGTTTCTTATGTTTCAGATCTGGCCCAATCCAGGTACCAATCCTTCTATAATAAACTTCAGAAGCAACCCAAGCTTCTCGTTTCTAACCTTGCTTCCTCTTCAATTCCTGATATACCCTCCGAGGCGTCTGAAAAGAAGATGGCCCCGTGACCTCCATTTTAAGGAAACATAACCCTATCAGTATTCTCCGCAATATTTACTATGGCGTGTTGCTTAATGAGGCCACATCTCAATGCCTACTCAGTTTTAAGCAGAGTGACGAATCACTGATTGTTGATTTTGAAGGAAAAATGCAGGACATGAAGAAATCTAGAACTTATTATAAAGCTAGCCAGCGTTACATGTCCTAAGGCAGGTTCGCTGTCGCGTGGTTTTCAGACGGCCCAAAATGGGGCAGGAGGCCTTAAAACCTGCCATACATTAAAAAATTGAATGTTTTCTTTTGAATAATTATTATTGGTATTTGAACGCAGCAGGAGTTGATGGATTTAACCCAGGTATAACCATGGACCTCGATATGTTTTGGACTGAATCAACTAATTCCAAAGTCGACAATCTAATACTTTCTTTGCGAACGTTAGTATCAAGGGTTGTCTTCAAGTGTCTCTCTAGCAATGAGCTTTTAACATTTTTAAATCAAAGGCATATGGATAGTGATCCATGTTGTAATTTTTTTTTTTCACTTCATATATCTATCCGCACCAGTCATGATAGTGACAATCAGTAGATCTGTAGTGATAAATTAAATGATTAGCATTATATGCATGAGAAGGATAGCACTCAACAGCATCTCTTCCTGTTCATTGGTTACTTCTTTGATTCAGGGGAGCAGATCTCTCACCCAGCTCCTTTTAAGGCGCCGTTGTATCCGTAGAGTTTGAGACTAAATCAAAAGTAGAGAGTATGTATGTGTTGATCGATAGTTGGTGGTCATAAGTCTTTATATAAATTTTTGTAGTTTACGTACCAGGGAGCCACGTGCCGATTTAGGGGGGGGGGACTTTTGAGCTGAAGCCCCTCCCCCCCAAAATGGTAAAATATAACCATGTTTTATCGAAAAATATATAAAAAAAGTATCTCTTAAAGTATTATTGTTCGTGTAATTACATTTAAAAGGGTTTTAGGAATCACTTCATTTCATACAGGTAGTTAGTTTCTTTCTTTTTTTCCAAAGTAATTATCGTTTTTTTTATGAATAAAAAACTTTCGGGCTGAAGCCCCCCCAAAATTAAATCCTGAATCCGCTAGTGCAGGGAGCTGCTATCACAAGTCGTAAAATTTTGGATTGAAATGGCTTAATTAATTAAATTTAATATTATATAAATTTATATCTATCAAAAATATTCATTGTGAAGATGTGACAAATTTGTTAAATTTAATGCATTTAAATTAACTTTGAATGAACATACAAAAAGTTCGTCTAACATCATCTGACTTTCTACGTTCGTTTTATTCAGTACTTATCTGTCTATTTGACAAGATTAAAATCTTGCACGAACTTGTTCCTTTCCGATTTTTTGAATTTTATATTGAAATGCATTTAACATCCTCCTTTTCTTTTTAGCTGATCCAGCTGATATCAATTATATTTTTATATCCAGAAGAGAATTATAGGACATAATTAAGTTATCCAATAAACGTATAATGGAGGTTAAGTTAAGTTACTTTATACAAGTAATTTATGAACGTGCAAACTATCCAGAAAATAAATTACCGGAACTTTCTCATGGATTATCATTTTTTTTTTTAAATTTATGAAAAAGTGGGTGAAAGGTAACCGATTAGAGGATAGATTACTTAAAGATAAATTCGAAGTGCATAGATAGGTTTATGGAAACATAAATAATCATGAAAAGTTTTCAGTTATTAAAAAGGTGGGACGGCCAACTCAGAGATGTTTGTGCGCTTTTATGGCTGGTATCCAATGCCTCCATCTGTTCACAAAATTTTAATTCGTGATGTAATATCATATTATGATTTATTACCTAAACATACAGGCGGATCTAATAGAGAAGAGACGGAGGCTCACTCTGGTTACTTAATATATAAATATATATAATAAATTTACAAATTTACTAATAACAAAAATCGATTACTTATTAGATGTTTACATATTACACTTTCAAACCCTTGGCCAATTACCGAAGGCCTAACCGATGAGCTACATCGTTGTATTCTTTTCTATCAATATTTAATATTAGTATATCAAAAAAGTAAAATGGTTCCTTCTAAAACCACATCGATAGTTTTCGATAAGTACTACGATCTATTTCATCGATCATACTATCTACTAGTTATGATTTATGTAAATATTATATAGCATTTAGGAAGGGTGTGCTTTCTAAATTCGATTTTTATGCATTTTTTTTTTACGAATACTATTTTTTTTTCAATTGTTGAATTAAATGAATAATACAGAGTAAAATTATCTAAATTTTTATCAATTCTGGTATCATCAAGGATACAATCAGATATTGAAACATAATATAATTTTCATTTGAGTATACAGGTGTTTCCACACCTAGTCCAGTACAACAAGTTAATTAATAACAATTAATTAATAACAAGTTAAAGATAAGCTTTATTCGGTATATACTGGACTAGGTGTGCAAGACTGGGTACCGCTAAATTCAAATAATTGACATAATCTTTTAATATCTGTATTCCTCATGATGACAGAAGTAACGAAAATTTGAATAATTTTACAATAAATTATTTTTTAATAGATACTATTAAGTTTTAATTCTTGCACATACTAGTAACATATTTTTTGAAATTCCTGTTGAATCTTAACAGAACGCCCTTGGAAAAGTGTTACACTAGAAGATTTAAGATAGCTTTATTTGTATTATCAGTAATAATTCAGTTGTATTATCTAGAATGTCAGCCTTCTCTTTCTTTCTGTAGCAAACATGTCAACAATAAATAATAGTCGTGTAATGCTGTTTGGAGTACAACCGACATTACCTGATGGTGAACATAATAACAGCGTTAAGCTCTTGATGTACAATACATCGAAGTAATCTTGAATTAAGGAAATCGGTAGGTCGACTGAAGAGCAGGCAGTAGAAATAAGAAGGAATAATAGGGTGAAGTAGAGCAGCTCTCGCATCGTGAACGTTGGATCATCTGGCCACGAACAGAGATATCCCTTTCCGATCAATTAAGTCAAGCCTGATTCTAGAAATATGTCAAAAAAAAAAATCATAGATGTTTGCTCTCACAATATTTAATCAGAGATTTCGACAAATAGTCTATAAAAGAACAAAAGAACGTCCGTCCAATTAAAAATTCCTTTTATCATGTGGCCTCACTCACTCCCCTATTCTGTAAAGAACTCGATCCCAACCTTGAGCATGCAGTAATATGGAATATGTTAAAGTACATCATCGGCTTATTGCAGTCATTAAGTGATATTTCATAACCTCAAACAATTTTAAAAAAGGCGAGATTAATGATAACAATTATAAATTACAAGCAATAGCTCATCGCAAAGGCGGATTTACGGGAGGCTTTCGGGCTGAACCCCCCCCCCCCAAAATGGTAAAATGTAACCATGTTTTATGGTAAAACATATTAAAAAATTATGTCTTAAAGTATTATTGCTGGTTTAATTAGATTTAATAGGACTTCAAAATCACTTAAACGCCATTTCATATAGATCTTTATATATATACATAAATCTTGGATCCGCTAATGGCTCATCGTAAAGAGGATGAAATGCAGGTCCGAGTTTTAGTTTCTGAGATATTTTAATCCACATCTTCTATAAAACTCGTTATAATTTGGTTTTCGACATTTTTTTTCTTTTCGCCTCCCCAACACTGCGTCACGTTAAGATACACTTTTGAATAATAGGCCATTACAGAGAATATGAAATGCTAGACCATTTCCTCCATTACAGTATGCAGGTCCTATTTTTAGTTTTTGAGATATTTTAATACATATGCAAAAAAACTTCAATTAGTCGACTCCAGCCGATCTTACCAGAGCGTTACACATTGGAGATCTGACGGCTCAATCTGATTCACCCTAAACAGAAAAGTACAGAACGCGCCCCAAGAAGTATTCACTTCAAAAATTTAATGAATTTTTCTTATGTCAGATCAGAAAATTGTGCACAAGCAGAGTTTAAGTCAGTGGATCACGAATTTCAACCATTTTTTTTTCGAAAAATATTAAACACACGTCGCCGCGTTTGTTTTAATGGGCTCTAGGAATCGGAACAAAAAATACTTTATATAATGACAAAATTTATATTATTTATTTTTCTCATGGACTTTCCCGGAATTTTACGTTATTATATACCAATCGATTTCTTGTTTGTGCAGAATAAGAAAACAATATTGACTATGGATTTAAATGAATTATAGTCCGTGGTACAGACCCCTTTTTATCAAATTATTAACATCAGCCTGAAACTTCATAAATAACTTAATCCCATCGTAACTTACAACTATTTTATTTACGAAAATTTTCGGAATTGGGCCGTTTTCAATCTGGAGATCGTCAAACTTGGTCTATTTAAGTAGGCATTAATCGTAAGATAATTTGAACACAAACTCGAGCGAAAAGGTGGCCTTCATCAAAAATATTGAGCAGTCTGGCGGGACCTACATCCCCAAAATGGCAAAATAACGAGGTTACATAACCAATATTTTTGTATGCCTTTTTTCTTGATTTTGTGATCAAATTATTTTATGATCCAAGTGGAAAGCAAATGAGTATAAACGAGTTTTTAGTATCATTCTATAAATAGGCAAACACAAAACGGTTCAGCCCTTTTTTCTCCTCTATTATTCAACCGATTTTACTCTTCTTTTTTTTTGTTTAATAGCTATTGACGAGCTTTGGTGTTATCAATAAATACAAATATGAAATAGTTTGTAAATAAATATATAAATGGTAGTTTGTTCAAAACAGCTAATATCCGGAAGTTCTTCACTATTTCTTTGAAATTTTGACACAACGTCGCAATAATATTTAAAAGTGTTTTTTATACGTTTCATTATGATTAGGCTTTTCCTTTCGAAATGGCGGCGGAAAAACCTGATTCGCTTTAGACTGTAGCGTCAATACGGCTTTAACGATTTTAATGAAACTTGGCTAAAGTCTTCGCCTTGAAAAATTTATAGTTTATTTATACAACATACTTTCCCGAAAACAAGCAGCATAAATTTTTATGATGAATTCAGTATTTTATTTGCGAATAACTAAAAAAGTACACATTTTTTTATTGATAATACCAATATTTATTTGAAAGCTTCCTGAATTCCAAACAAAATGATAAAAATTCTAAATCGGACAACTTGTTGCAGAGATATATCATTTCAAACATTTAGTACTTTTTCTTTTGCAAAGTAGATTTCCTCTATTTTGGTTTTTGATAAATCGAAAACTTTAAATTTAATGAAGTGATCAGGACTATTATCTGAAGAGATATCATGGAATGTTACCTCATAAATTAAATTTAAAAATAAATTCTATAGTTATACTTATTCTTAACTTAAATACTGCACAAGCAGTAGTTAATGGAACATGAATGAGAGTGAAGTATTGAGCTACTTTAAATAAAAGAATTTGAATTCCAAGAATTATTTTAATATTTTCTGACACAATACATACATTCGAATTTCAAAGAACAACGTCCTTATTAATAGCTGCATTTGCTATGACCATAATCAAATCGCAGGATCAAACTTTTGGAAAAATTTGTGTATTATTACGACGTCCAGTAATTTCGCATGGACAATTATATGTAGAAGCAAGTAGAGCACGTTAAGATTAAAATTAAAACTTTGAAATTTATATTTCCAATGGCAATGGTCGAGGCTATGTACTAAACAATAACAGAACAAAAAAACAACATAGTTTTCAGAGAAGTTCTGCATAAAAATGGATTTAAACTCAGTTGAAATTGCTAATTTAAATTTATTTTTTACTTGCTTAATCATAACATTAATTTATTGTGATGATAACGCACATAAATTAAATATTTGAATGAGTCTATTTTGTATCACTTATAAATAATTTCAGGTAGTTTAAGCTCGATTTTTAATTGAAATTGAAATTTTGTTTATATTAATAAATGAGGATTTTTGAATGGTAATTTACTCTTTATTTATTGAATTTATTTTTAATTTAATTATGTTTTCCTCAAATTTTTAATGGCTATGGTCAAATTTCGACCACTGTTTAAACACTAGCATAATTAAATAGAGAAAGTTTGCCAATCTCCAAATTGAAAACGCGCCTATTCCAAGAGTTTTTATAAATAAAATATAGTTGTAGGTAGCGATGAGATGAAACTATTCACGAAGTTTCAGGCAGATGTTATTAATTTGATAAAAAGCGGTCTGTACCACGGACTATTATAATGTACCATAAATTATAAAAACCAAAATGTTGCATTCAGTAAATTAGGCCAAATAAATTTATGTCATGAGAAAGCAAGTTAGATACGGTTTTAGTATTCTTAAATACAAATTTTTATATAAATGAAAAATTGCAAATTTGAATACTTGATTTTGTTGGATTTTTTTTTTTTCGGCCAGCAACTAAAACATTCGCAACTCCTTAGTTTTTTCCCAAATTCAAAGTCAGTACAACGGTTGGAAAGTCAAATTAATGCTTTTTCAACTCTTCAACCAATAACTTAGATTCCATTTCCTTTAAAGACTAAAATTAAGGAAAAAAAATCTCTTTATTTTAATTTTATTTCTTTGGTTCTGATTTGCTTACGGAAGAGTTTGTACTATTGGGAGTAGCGTTTTGAGACATACATATGTAACAATTTTCCTACGAATATGTGGAGACGTCATGAAGTTATTACAATTTTCTAGGTTGACCAGATAATTTCGAAGGGTCCAACCTAGACAAAAATTTTAATTTTTCGATTGCTTCAAAAATTAGTATTTAAGGGTTTAATGCTGTATTTTCTAGATATGGGGTTTTCACCCAGATATTTCCCAGTAATTATTTTAATGGCCTTCATACTCTACATAATTTGTGCTGAATCAAGTGGTCAAATCTTAGGTGGTGGGAATAAGATCATATATATATTCTTTTTTTTCTCGTTCCTTTCCAAACCTAAATCAATTTTAAATCAACCAAGTCTACATAAAAAATAAACAATGATAGTTTAGGAAAACCAATTCCTGCAACCCGAGTATTTTAAAAAAATATATGTAAATAAAACTACTCAACTTATTTATTGAATATATGTTTATCTTATCCTCACATAGATATATTTAATTAATTAGTTGATTTGTTAAAGAAAAACTAGAATTAGTTATAAATAAAGAAATAGACCTCAAAGTCTAATCTTAATATAGTACGATTTCTTTAAATTCAAATGTAAAGCATTTAATGTTATTCTTAATTTTTATTAATTGTTTCAAGCTCTGTTCAACAAAATTGTTGCATTCAAATAAATGATAATTTAGTTTAATAGAAAATGTTAAATTTATTAAAAATCTGTCTATTCTCAACTATTTGTGTTCTTATCTGTTCTTCAACTTGGCCTTCAATAACTGCCAACATATATACAGGTTTTCATAGAATATCTAGAAAAGTGTATTCCTCTGTTTTATTTATAGCGACTACTGACAATATGTACAAACTGACAGTTTTCTAGATTGATTAACATCTATGGTTACCGTTCTATTCATAAGGCTCACACTCGTAGGTGTGATGGGATAAAGCCTCAAGGCTTTCTCAATAAACAGTCTATCGAACACAAAATGATTTTTTTTTCGAATCAGACTGGTAGTTCCTCAAACTATTTCATTCAAAGAAACATGCTCTTCAGAGGTTCATAAAAAATAAATAAATAAATAAATATATATATATATATATATATATACACACACATCAATTAGCGAATATATAAATTATTACTAAACTTCGTGATAAATTGGTATATTTTATTATTGCTAACCTTCCACGGACTATCAAAGTAAGGTAATGATTGGTTCAAAATTTTAAGCCAGCAGTTACAAATGAAAAAGTTGGTTCTTATTGTACAGCCATAAGTAATATTTTATTTTGTTGTGCTGTTTCTGTTCCGGCTAATTAAAAGGCTTCCACTTCATTTTGTCAACATATTTTATTAATAATTTATTTTTTAAATATAGAAGAATATCCTTTGATACAGTCTCAAGTTTATTTTATCATTACAAGGAGCTCTCAATGCATTGCAACATATTCATCTATTCTAATCAGTATCCATCCACTTGGATGTTGTTCTTTCAAAATTGTTTTGCTCTTATCAATCATTCATTAATTGTTGTACTGTATATTAAAATATATTTTTTGAGAGAACCTTTTCCTCGATTATGGGGTCATACCCTGAATATTAAAATATACTGAATGTATCACAAAAAAAAAAAAATGTAACAATCATGCCAGAAGTTAAAACAATAAATTTAACATTTTATTAATATTATTATTGCCAAAAAACAAATACAGATGACTCACGATAACTTGGTTTTTAATTAGTGGTTAATTATAAATTAAATATAAAAATTGTGTAATTATTTTGTACTCATGTGATTTTTAGTTTTTAATGCTATACTTTGGAGTTTGCATTAAAATTAATTATAGAATCAAATTACTGAAATATTACTAGCATCCATTTTTATAAAAATACCTGTAACTGTATTTGTTTACAATGAAATGACTGAACAATTTTTGCATTAAGTCAAAATTAAATAATAGCAGTTGCGGGAACTAAACACTAAAATTAAGTAAAACAATATAAAAAACTATTCACTTTATTTAAATTAATAATACATCAATAACAAATAGTTCTAATATGTACACTAAAAAAAGTCCAATAATAAGGTAATATAGTATAATATTTAAATCAATCAGTACAATAGTTGTTCGTATAGAACAATCCCAAAATGTTACATAACCTCAAATTCACACAACATGCATCATGTTTAAAATCTAGCTACATAATATCATGTAAATGCATAGAACCAAGTATGTACTTACATATTTCTTTCCAACACCAAGACATTTTTCTTTCAGTCTGCGATCCTTTAACGGTTGAATTTATTTGAAAATTTTATGTTAAAACTTTTTTTAACTAGTACATACTTCAAAACACATTTTACCAATACATTAAGATTTTGATTAGGATACAATGGATAACACATTCTAATTAAATTTATGTGAATATAATATATTAGAAATATTAGAAATGACAATTTATTCAACTTTTAGGTGAAATACACCAACACCAAATTTAATAAAATTGATTTATCTCCTTCTCTCCTCTCGTTTGTTATTTTCCTGAAAACAGAAATAAATAACATTTTTGGTTGAAATAAAAAATCATAAAAGAAAAAACAACATAAAACTTAATTATTAATGAAATTTAAAAAGTAACGCATATCAGTACTATGGGGAAAATACCTTTTGAGCCAAAATAATGAGAAGACGTCTGAAGATACCAATGAAATCAATGAAAAGATCAACTGAGTGAGCAATGAAGTCTTTGTCACCATGTCTACGTTTTTCCATAATCAATTGAGTATCATACAGAACAAATGCACACATCAGGACGAGACCAACATAAAGGTGAGCCTGGAATATCAAATTAATTACTAAAAAATATTTTGTTATGTGAACTTACATGCAATATTGAATAAAATGAAATCTATTTTTTTTTTAAATTAAAAAAATTCCTACTTAAAAAAGAGGAAATAGCAATTACTTTTATAATGAAAGATAAATATTACCACTGTGTTAGGTTTTCAAAGTGATTTAAGAAACTTATTTATCCTACAGCTAACCAACCACCCTATTCTAACCAGTGATAAGATAAAGATTTATTCTAAGATTTGATACAAAATAAATTTCAACATATCCAGACCAGATACAAACTGGCATCACTAGACTTCAGAGGTTGCTAATGAGACAATGCCTTAACACTTTCCCACATCATGGATCCAAAAAGAAAAACAAAGAGGTTAAATGAACAATAATACACAGAATAGAAAATATTAATAACTTCGGACTAATACAAGAGAACTTTTTTATTAGTGTATTTCAGTGATTTTTTAAAGTGTTTGTTAAGAATTGAGTATTTCCATATTGTTAAGTAAAAATAGAAATTTTTAAATTCAACACTATAACATTGCCAAGCAAGAAGCTTTAAAAATTAGAGGAAGGTATCTATATGGTTGGCAATTGAAATTCAACTAATGAGCTTGACCAACCTTGCTTAGGTCACAGTTAAGTTAGTTTTTAAATTAATATTTATATGTAGTTCAGTTAATGAATTCATTATAAACAAGGCTATTATCAGTGATAAGACTATATTTGTATTTATGTTATATACAAGGCCTCTAATAGAGATTGTATTTTAAAATAATAATTTAAATTGTAACTCATTGATAACAATAATCAGTATATTTTTTATTTGTTGCAGTTGGTATTTAAAACTGACTAAAATAAGTAAAATTACTATATTTGGCGATCTAAACAGGGAATATATAAAATAATCTCAAATTATAACTTTTAAAAGAAGACAATACATTAATATTATGTATATCAAAATATTGAAATAGTTTCGAGGACACATTTCTATTTACAGGCACAAAATTGAGACCCCAGCTTTTGAATTTTTTTTAATACTTCATCTTATCAAAACAGCAGTTACGCTATAATTCAGAAAGAACATTCTTAATTTAATTTGTAAATAAAACCATAAATAATTTTCAGATGGATTAAATAAACAATAAAAACTATATTTATCATTCATATTTTGCAAGAAGTAATTCATTGTAATCAACTATTAAAAACTTCTAAATTTTAATTTATAATTAACATTGATTCATTGAAATATTACAATTTGTATAGAAAATGTTCATAAAATGATCTAGGATAAGAACATTAAGAGATAATAAAAACATAGAAGCAAACAAGATTTGACTGCTATTATTATCTCGGTAAGATAAGTAAATATTTGTTGTGACATTGGCAGATTTAGATTAAATGAGAAAAACAAACAAAATCATACTTTTAGGTGTCACTTTCAATGCAATTCTTTGCAAGAAATTAATAAATGTATATTTATACATAAAATTATTCATTAATAATACTTTAATTTATCTAACTATGCTTCTAAATGGACAAGTATTACGTTTAAGTAATATAAAATATAGTAAAAAGGTACAATCAATTAAGCAGCTAAACCTTGGCAGCCTAAAAGACTGAAAGGCATTTCGTTTAAAGTCTCCAATTTTAAACCTTCAGTTTCCAAAAATTGTCCAAGGCCTTAAACTTATTGAGGTAATAAGCTGGTGTATGTTTTTATAGATACTAAAGAATTTAATTTCGAATCCTTGAAATACAGGAATCATTAGACTCGATAATGATTCTTATAATTCATAATCAATACATATTATTCATAAACAGACACCAAGACGTATGACTAAATAAAAGTCTTTTGTACCTATTTTCAACAGCAGTGTAACACATGGATGTAGAAAAAATATTAATATATTTATAAATTTCAAAATATTGTTCAAAAAATTAAATCAATATTGATTTTTTTTTAGACATTAAACATTGATTTGTTAACTTGTAGAACAAATTAACCAAGTTAACAAATCAAAACTTTTTATTGTAATAAGCAATACATATATAAATATTTCAAGTTTTACTATTAAAGATGCAACAAATATAAGAACTTAATTTAATATTAACCCTCTTCTACTTCATCCAAAGATAATTAATACTGAGCCCAGAAATAGTTTTTTTTTCTTATTATTATTTCAATCTATATTCGAAAATATCAATACTATAAGTACCAATATTTTTGTTTGAGTTTTAAATCCCCACTCTTTCTAAAGGTTAAAATATCGAATACATATCCAATATATCAGAATATGGATATTTATTTATAAATATGGAATTACTTTATGAACTGGCAAGTGATCTAAGGCACTAGCAATGGGCAATTAAAATTAAGTAACATCGATCCTCCTGATAAGTACTTGAATGGGTGACTCCACCTAGGATGTAAAATGTAAAAGCTCATCCATAACTATATGTTCAGTTATGCCATTATCTTAATAATAGACTATCGATCTATAACCAAGCAAATATTTTTATTGGGTCACATTTGTTTTTATTTTTTGTATAAAAGTACCCAATAAAAATTGATCATTCATTTATTTTCCATTGTTTTTAAATTGTGTCCTTTATATTTGAATTGAACACAGATATTTTCTTTTAAAGACGAAAATGTTTAAAAATATTTCCATATTTTAATGAAAATAATTTAATTGACCTTCAGGCTAGGCATACATTTAAGTATTCAATAATTATTGAAAAAAACTAATAAAATTGTGATGTTATTAAGTGTAAAGAGTTTAATTCAAATAAAATTTGAGAATAACATGTTTAAAAAAGAAATGAGAAAACCCTCCTCCCCTTTCCCCTCCCCCCAAATATAGTCATAAAAGCATTATAAAAAATAAATAAAGAATTTTAAGAGTAGGTGGAAATTTCAACTAACCTATTAATAATAAATATTATATAAAAATGTTGGCATATAATATTCTATTAAACATCACCCGATATTCAAGGCACTTAATTTAGAATAAATGTAAAAATAATAATACATATGTAAATGGAATTTATTTATTAGATAACACAGCTAGTTTTAGATTATAGTAATAAAATAATAAAAATCCTGTTACCTGGAAGAGGAGGGTAGAAGACAGGAACATGCTAGCAAGAGAGAAAACAAACAGAGCAGATAGAATAGTGGTGATTGTACCACCAAGGAATAGCCATGATCCACGTCTTGCAAGAAGAGCAGAGAGAGAGAAAGATACAAAAATGAGAGATGTAGCAAGAAGTGTGGTTGGAATGATAGATGGGTCAATCAGAATAACTTGTTCTAGCAAAGGTCCCAATCCTAATCCTGCAAAAGAAATATCAACATATTAAAGAAAAAATAGCAATTGAAAATACTAAATCAGTTAAATTATTAATATTATATAGAGTTGCTACCAGATAGGTAAAGTAAAATTCCCTGACATTTTCCTATTTAATGATAATTTTCCCAGACCAATATGTCTGGAGATACAAATATTAAAACAGTATAATTTATACCTAAATTTATTTATTATACATAAAACAAAACGGACAACAAAATGATTTGAGTTAATAATCGGTCTTTGAAATAACAAATATGTTTTCGAGGAGGCATTTTTCAAGCATGATTATAATTTTTATTTTAGAAAACTTTTAAACTTTTAGCGAAGAGAAGGATGGTTGGAATGATCAGTCATAATAAAAATGACAAAAATAAATAATAATATTTATTTTAACACGTGCCTAAATTAAATTAATTTTAATATTTATTTTTGTCATTTTTATAATGACTGATCACCCCAACCATCCTTCTCTTCATTATTCACTTCAGTCAATTATCAACCCACAATTATAAACATTTAGTAATTTATTTATATCATCTTTATTTTATTTTCATAAACTGTGAGGATGTAAAACTGGATACTTGCCATATAAGCTTTGATTTTTCTTTATTACAAAATAAAAAGAGCTACGGAAGATTCTAATATTAATACAGTTTCTCATAGGAAATTTAGTTTCTTCATTACTACAAACATTGTAATAATTATCCATATGACACCAACTATGACATTTCTAGTAAAGAAATACTTTTTTAACGAGCACCAGGATCGAATTAATCTGAGCATGACAGCCAATAAGTTGCACCGATCGTAGTCACAAATATAATATAAAATAAAATTTAAAATATATAAGGGTATCTATCGCTTGCTAATATTAACTGTTACTCCCCATTCTTAGCATTAAATTCATATTTCTGTTTATTACTGTAATAAGCATAAGGAAGAGAAAGAAGTTTTTCCTTGGAAGAAAAATTCCATATGTGCCCCTGACAGGAAAGGGAACAGTCCAATAGTAGCCTGGCTCAAAAATTACAATCTAAATCTTTCAACAATTTGAAAAATTGCAAGTTAATTCGAGACAGCATCCTGAATAAGGTGAATCATTTAAATCAAAAACCTCGAAATGGGTTCTTTTCAATATTCTGCTACCATGATTAAGGCAAATTTTACTCGAAAAGACTAATGAATATTTAAAATCAATTTGCAATCTATTTGAGGAATCTCAAACTAATATTTTGTGAGGATGGATACGTAGATTCTGCTCCCGACATAATAGTGTTTTTAAAAAAATTAAGTTTAGCCAACAGATCATGAGAATTATCATGACGCCGACACAGTCCTCACGATAAAATGCAATTTTTGGAGTTGATGTTCGACCAGGATGTCTACCTATAGACAGAATTACCGTTAAGAAGTTCATTACTTTTTTTTAAAAAATGATCATAGGTGTATACATTACAAATATTTTAAGTCCATTTTTCTTACATTTTATTCGTTACCCTTGTTCGATTTCAATATAACGACCACTGCTGTTATTGATAGTCAAAGGTGGATGAATATAGCAACTGTGGTCATTTATAACAATGAAGGTTACAAACAATATACATTGCATATTTATTTCCAATTTGAAAAAGATATTTACGTACTAAAAAAATTCCCTGACTTCTCCCCGACTTTTCAGTTTATAAAATTCCTTGACTTTTATCATTTTTCTAGGTTCAGATACGTCGCCACCCTGTTATACTATAATCAAATTTACCGGAAACTTGAAAAAAAAAGTTAAACAAATAAATAAGCAATTACAAACAAACTTTTAAAAAACATGCAAAAATAATTATTATAAGAATATGTTGGTTACGAACAATCTAGGAATGGTACATAAAACTGGTAAAGTAATGAAACATTAATACAAAAAATAAAAATATATTTTTAAATATCAACCTTTTTCCTTGATTGATATCCTGAAAAACATAGTTCAGAACATTACACAGACAAAACAAACTTTGGCTTCAACAGCTCAAAACTTCAATAGTGCTTAGTTGACAGCATATATTCAGTGATTGTTGATTAAGCTAACCGAATATGTTAGTAATTGAGTAGAATTAACTCCGCTTAAAGGTATTCAACTATTTTTTTGAGTGAACGGTTGGTTCAAAATATACATTCATACATATACATCCCCATACAGAGAGATCCCGTGAGTGTTTTAAAATAATTTTAGTTCAGAACAGCTACCTGTGATTGAATCAAATTTGTTCAATCAATTTGCTAAAAGGCATGTAACGATTTTTCGAGCATACAGTTGGATCAATTTCTAAGTTTGATATCTTAAATTATTTGTTGAGGTTCTATGAGCAATTTGGAACAACTTGAGCTAAAAACACTGACCCATTATTGAATAAAATGCGTTTAAGCAACTTTTTAAAAGATATATAACAATTTTTTGAGCAAGCAGCTGAATTGATTTTTAAGTTTGATGTTATAAATTATTAATGAGATCCTGTGAATGTTTTGAAAGAATTTTAGCTCAAAATCTGGCACATTACTTTGTAAAGTGTGTTTAATCAATACACGGAAAGGTACGTAACAATTTTTTTGTGTGAATGGCATCACCGATTTTTAACTTTGACAGCTGTAGTTGCTCTATGAGATCCCATGAATGTTAAGAAACAATTTGAGAGTAAAATACTGAAAACATTGTTATTACAGTTTAAGTATCTCGATTATTAATTGATTTGAAATGATAAAATGTTATCATATGTTACGAAACTTAATGTTTAATACATTAAAAACTAAAAATGTTAAAATAAAAAATTAATTGAATTGAAAAAAAAAATAGACTACAGAAATTGAGAAATTCTTTGCACCATACGGGAATGTACTCCCATATGTACTTAAACATCTTGGGAGATTGATATCTATTAATATTTAAACTTGCTGTAGTAGTCGGGAGCCTAACACACTCCGATCTAAACTTAAGACTTATGCAACATGGGATGAAATCTATTTGCCTGGAGCCTTAATGTGTAGTGAAAGGCACCCGATATTACACCAAGTTTAAATATTCATAGATATCAATTTTCTTATCAATATACCAAGATGATTAAATAGATAAGGAAGTACATTGCCCTAAGATAGATAGAATTTCTCAATTTCTGTAGGCGAATTTTTATTTAATTCAAATATTTTCTAAAATCATATAATTGAAAAAAAAAGAAGAACGAATGGAAAACCAATAATAAATTACTTATTATTGAATAGACCTAGATATAAGTCATAATTTTTGTTCGATGTTTCTAATAACGTAAGGAATACAAAAAATCTAAAATAAAATAAAAAACATTCAAAATCCATTTATTGCAAACATTAATTAAATATCAAGATAATATACTAAAAAAACAAAAATAAAAACAGTAACATTCATATGATGATGTGGCTTACTTATCAGGTATATTCATTCAATAATGACTCAGCCATTTTAACAAAGCTAAATGGCGAGAAAATTAATATTATATACCTTCTAAATAATATATAATCCTTGATATATTGGCAATTTACATAATTTGCATTCATTATTCAATGAAAAACCGTAGTATTAAATAATCAACATACAATCCATAGAATAAAAACTATGAATTAAATAGAGAAAAAAAAGTCTAATAAATATTATTAGTGTGTAGTACTGATTAAAACTATGAATTAATATATGAATATTTAATACTATATCATTATATTATATGCTATACAAAAGAAAATTGTCTAAAACATATCAATAGCATACCTGAACAAAATGAGAATCCGATAAGGAAACCCAAACGCATCAACTGATTTTTGCCATTGTCTTTGGTACAATTCAGGGCAACCAAAAATCCAATAGCTCCCAACACAGTTATAAAGTTGCGAGAGAGAATATTGGTGTAAAGATCTATGTATGCTCCTAGTGCGGCAGAGATTGTGGCCAATGTTAAGCACGCATAAACATTCTTCAAATGTATGCGCACTGGTTCTTCACTGCAATTAACATTAAAAATTAATTTAAAAAAGCCAAATAACATAGACAATCTTGACAGTAAATGAGGGGTGTGTATCACACTTAAAAGCCAATGATTAAAGGTTATTTCAGGAGAAAAACATTTAAAATTACGAAAATAAATATAATTCGATTACAAAAATCGTAAGGGTTTAAGCAAAATAATGGCGCTCAATTGCCTTGAAATGAACAGGAACAAACATGACAAAATTAATGAAATGATTAGTTTTTAAGCAGTAAAACCAGGATTAAAGTATTGTAAAAACAACTATGGCAAAGAACATAAATACAAATACAAATACAAACATTTATAACAATATCGGGGAGAAAAATGTTAAGCATGATGCAATATCTGATAGAAATGGGATAGTTAATCTAGATATCAATACAGTTATGATTTAACTGAAACTCAGTATGATAAAGAACAAGACAGTAAAATAATCACTCCTTTTAGCTTAAAAACTACTTACATTTTGGAATTGAAAGTATTTATGAATGTACCCAACCCAGACGCCATGGTACAGTTTTCTCAAATTCACAGAATAAGTCACAATATTTCAAGCAAGGAACAAATTATTTGCTTTAAAATGCTTTGAGGGCAACAGCAAAAACCGTCAAAAATCTAGAGAACACGCAATTTCAATATGATTTTAACACAGTCACGTAAGACAATCAACTCACGACAGAATAATGACGTTTACATCAGAAATCTACTGGCAAATGTGACAAATAGAGCGCGTATGAAGTAATATGATATCACAAATTAACTATTCATCATACAATATTATTATACTACAATTCTAGAGAAGTTATTTATATTTATACTTTTAAAAACGTATTTGTTTTAACTCTTTCACCAAAATACGAAAAATAGTTCATTTAGTAAAAAAAAACCGCCAAGTTTGAATAAACGTAAAATGTCTTTCAAACAGAAAAAAAAATTTCTTCCTTTAACTTCATAATTGTAAAATAAAAATAACTCCATTTTTCTTAATAGCAATAACTTAAAATAGGATAAAGTTGGAGGTTAAAATTATGATATGATATTATGGTCAAAAGACAATTTGTTAACATTTCAAAAAGAAAAAATGTAATGTTCTTATTTAAATAGACACAACTAAATCTTGGCTTAAAACTTATCTTCGTACTATTAAATGATTATTTCTAATTAACAAAATATTACTGAAAAAATTAATTAAAATATTAACAAACCTGAAAAAAGAAACCTTATGAGGATCTTGGATTCTTAATGTGATAATGGAATATTTCTATGGATTCAACTATGGCATTTGGTGTGACTAAAATTGCTTCATATTTAATTTACTATGGTAAGTTATCATTATAATAAGCATTTATTTTGAAATATAGTATATTACTCATATATTTAAATATACATATTTAGAATATCAAGAAAAAAATAAAAGTTTCATTAAAACTATTTTGACATATTACATATTGATCAAAAAATATAAAAACCAAATTAATTATTTTTAAAAAGTATATATCATTTAAAAGATTTTAGGTTTATCTCTTGAAAATAAAATTAATTAATTTTGGATAACCCAAATAAATAAAATGTAAAAACATTAAAGAAAACAAGATTTAGATAGATGCACAAAATTATAAATGAAAATTTTATTGAATGCTATATAATGCCATGACAAATGTTAATTTCCAAAAGCTTTTATCTTGTGTTCTTAAATAATGTAGTTTTCATGTTTTGTAAAATTTATCTTCTTTGCTGCACTTGTACCTATTTTACATTTTTGCATTCATTTATATTTTGTAATAAGACATATACCATTTAATTTGAAAACTTTATTAACCTCCACACACATCATGTGTTCTTCTTTTATTTAGGCCACTCATACAATGGTTAACAAGTTTATACTCAGGAAATTTTAAACATTCATTATTATTAATGAGCTGGGTATTTTGTCAAAAATATGATCTAATACGGTCTTTGGTCAAATCAGTACAACATTAGTAAACAACAACAATTTATATAACTTTGTTTTTGGCTTTAAAAATGTTAAGAAATATTTAAATTATATTTTCTATACAGAATTTGAAATTCATAATGTTTATGGCTTTAAAATTGTTAAAAAATATTTAAATTATATTTTCTATACAGAATTTAAAATTCGTAATGAGACACAAAAAAATACAGAATTATAAAAATATAAATCATGACACTTTTATAATATAATATTTTTTCTTATATAAGCAATAATATCTCATGTATAAAATGAAAATATAAAAATAATTTCTAAAATAAATAAAGAATAGATTGATATGTGAGAAGAACAAAAAAAAAAATTCATAAATAAGTTATTTATGTTTTTTTTTAATCATTAAAATTTGACATGTGTTTAAAAAAGTTTTAAGTTGAAAAAACTTTCCGTTCGAAAAAACTTTCCTCTAGAGCTCCGCAGTTACCAATTATAAGTTATAATAAATGATAAAAACTCATATATTTATAAAAAGTTAAAACAATATAGCAGATTTAATCTGTTTCATTTCTTTGTACTTACAGATTTTTACAAAACATATTTATTTTAAAGTTTTCCAAAATTTATATATTGCAGTTATATCTCGTTTCATGCACCTTTTTGTTTCTGAAATAAATAAATTAACTATGAAAATAGTGACACAAATGATAAATTAGAAACTTTTTTAAACACATGTCAAATTTTAATGATTAAAAAAAAACAAAATAAAAACATTATGAAGGGAATGGTAAAACCAAAGGAAATAGCATTGTATTTAAATACAATTTTTAATTGGGTTTATCATTTTATAACTTGAATATGGTACTGAAACATTAAGTGAATAGATTATAATGATGGCTTAGTTTATTTATGAGCTGATAATTTATGATCAAATAATTTTTGTGAATTGTGCAACTAAGACTTTCTATAACTTGAACATAATTTTTAATGTTTTGGTCTGAAAAAAAGTGTGATTAATGCTTGAATGCTAAAAATGTTTTGATTAATTGTTTAAAGATTATTATACAATTGCATATAAAGAATGAAAATTTGAATTTTGCAATGAACACAGTAGTCAACTAAGACAATGATACAATGATCATTTATAATAGTATATTCATTGTCAATAAAGCAAATTTAGGTACTAAATATTCTGATATAAATTACTTGTTTACCATTGATGAGAGATTGACAAATGATCCTGGATCCTGCAGCAATTTGATCAGTAAAATAATTTGGAATATAATTGTATTAATATATTTGAAATATTATAATAAAAAAATTGCATGAACAAATGTTTTAAAGTCATTTATTTTCCTAGAAAAATATGTCAGTAATTCTTATTATGAATAATAAGAATAATTTTTAAACAATATGAGTGAATAAAATTATTCACGAATAAGTAAATATTTATAAACTATAAAAATTATACTATATTAAATATTTAATTTGAGTTAAACTTCCATTTTGAATTGAGATCAAGGGCTAACTTGCAGAATTATTTTTAGATTGACCATGTAAAACTTCTAAGACTAACAAAATTAAATTCTTTGTTACTTACCAGATCAACTATTGATTAATTAAAGTTTTTAAGACTGGCTGTTTTTTAAGATAAACTATTGACTAATTAAAGTTTTTAAGACTGACTGTTTTCTAAAAAGTTGAGTGTTTAAGTGAGGTGATACAATAAAAAATTTCCTTCCAGATATATATTTTGTCAGATATGCTGTTTTAAATAGTGTCAAAATGGTTCAGAGATAGATTAAAAAACAAATAAATAAAAAATAGAGCAAAAACTTGAAACATTAAAAATATAAATATTTTCCCAAAGAATATCATCTTTTAAAATAATATTTGAAAAGTATCGGTCTGTATTTCTTGAAAGATACAAAATCTATGAGATCAGTTTCTAGTATGAAAGCACTAGTGGATCCAGGATTTAATTTGGGGGGGGGAGGCTTCAGCCCGAAAGATTTTTTTTCATATAAGTATAAAAATGATTAATTAAAAAAAAAAGAAAGAAATTAACTACCTATACGAAATGATGTTTAAGTGGTTCTTGAAATCCTATTAAATGTAATTAAACGAACAAGAATACTTTAAGAGATAGTTTTTAGTATTTTTTTCTGTAAAATATGGTTATATTTTACCATTTTGAGGGGGGCTTCAGCCCGAAAGCCCCTCCCTCTCCCCCCGTAGATCCGCCTGTGCATGGAAGTATAATTATAGTGGTCAGCCATACCTGACCCATCACAACCTCAATTAAGATTTTCTTTTCGAAAAAAGGCTTCCTGTTGCTTGTGAAAGAAAATTTGGTCAATTGTAAACTTTTTCTAACAAAAACCTGTTTGATAATACACTGACAGGCAAAAAATTCCACCCACTTGATTTTTTCATCTGAAAATATTTCTGCTTTGGATTGGTCTATTGTTTTTAATGAATAAATAGATAATCTTTTTGTTTGTTTTCAATTAGTAATGTTAATATAGAGGACAATAACCCTTAATCCTTAATTTAATGAAATGATTCTAGATTCCAATGTTTACTTTCTATGGAATCAAAATGTTTATTCAGTATCATTAGTTCAGTAACGTTTCTTGCAGCAAATTCCTGAGTCTCCGGCTTTTAATTTTTTCAATATTAAGTTTAAAAATGCTTCTTAGTGCTGAGGATGTTGCGCGTGGTGTGGTACTTATTGATGATGGACGTTCCATTAGATATGCAGCTAATACCATCGGAGTTCCATATGAAACTCTACGAGACGCCGTCAGGCGTTTTGGGGAAACTGGTTCTTACAATAGAAGGCCCGGTTCTGGATGGCCTAGGGTAACAGAACCACGGGATGACTGGTTTTTGACTTTGAGAATTTTACGAAACCGGCACCTTACAAGTTGTTCAAGCGATTCATCAGCTCGAAGAAGTTCGAGGTGTACAAATTTCTGAACGTATCACTCGGAGAAGATTAAATGAGTATGGATTAATGGCTTTTCGTCCAGTAAGAGGATCAGAGTTGACCAGAACTTCCATTGGACCATGGCCAATGTCCATAGCCAAGGTCCATCACAGAACAGTCATTGGACTATGGACGAATGGAGTGCTGTACTTTTTACAGATGAGTCAAGATTCGCTCTTCGATCTCCAAACGGGCGTGAAAGGGTGTGGAGAAGAAGAAACGATAGATATGCAGCCTGTAATTTTTCCCAGAGCCAACCTTTCCAACGTAGTTCCTTAATGGTGTGGGCTGGGATTTCAATGGAGTGACGTACAGAATTGGTTGTTGTTCGTGGAGGGTCTTTGATGGCCATTTACTATGTAGATGAGATTTTGGAACCTAATGTGTTGCCTATCCTCAACGAAATCGGCGATCGTTCTATTCTAATGCACGCCCACATGGTGCAGACGTTCCTTCAACAGAACAATATTGAGGTTTTAGCGTGGCCAACACGTTCTCCAGATTTGAATCCCATTAGGCATTTATGGGATAACCTCGGAAGACAAATAAGAGCACGTGCAACACTTCCTGATACACTGCAGAACCTTGAAAGGGCTCTTCGGGAGGAATGGGCTATCCTCCAGCAAAGGGACATTTCCCGACTGGTGGAAAGTATGCCAAGGCGTCTTCAAGAAGTAGTGAAGGCAAGAGGAGGAAACACACGCTACTAAACGATGATGTAATTAATTTCTTTTAGAATAATAATAGTTCGTTTTTCAATTTTTTTTTCTCTAATCTTTCTTACCCAATCACATTTTGATTATTAAAGGTAAAAAAGATTATAAAATTCCATAAATACTAAGTATTATCTACAAATACCAGGTATTGTATACAAATAAAACTTTACAGAAATATTTTTAGATGAAAACATGGAAAAATAAGTGGGTGGAATTTTTTGCCTGTCAGTGTAGCTAATTTTTACTCTTGTAGGTTCGGAAATAGAGTAGACTGACAGTATTCACCGTTTGTCGTAAAAGGCGACTAAAGGGACAACTGACCATTGACCTCTTACCTTATCCTATCTTTCCCCCCTTTCCAATAGTCCCTCTCATCATAATCCTTTTATTCTTTGAATACCTATCTATATAAGAATATATATTATAATATTTTGATAAACTGGAGAGTGAAATAAGTTCATAGAACATAAAATATAAATTAGAAATTGTATCTATGGTATATGGATAGATTTAGTTGTTCCACAAGAATGGTAGAAGATTTATTGGATTTAAGAAATGGTGAGGTAGGAGGTAAAACAAAAACTAACATTATTGCATTAATACAGTTATCATTTTTAATTTTAGCTGCAATATCATCAGCCATGAAATATATTGAACCTACTTCGATCTCTAGAAGAGACATCTGTATATCAAAATATCCAACACACTTATATGTTGTTCTCGGAGAAAGGAGTTCATTGATAGCTGAAAATGTGTTACCTAATTCTTCTGTGGTAAACAAATTATTGTTATTATAGGGATAATAATAAATATTTCAATAATTAATCTACTATATTTTCTAATAATTTACAAAAATTGATTTACAGAATGGAGATTCTGAAATTTCTGAATGCAGTGTCCAATTAGTAACCTGTTCAACATGTGTGATATTTATTATATTTCGACATCTTGATCTTCCACAAGACTGTCTTTCACGACCAAAATATAACAATACATGTCCATGTGATCATATTCAAATCTCCGAACAAGATAAAGTGTCCAGAGCTTATTTCTGTAATGTGACTGTCTCAAGTGGAAACAAGGATTTGACTTATCACTCACAGACTAGATATTTGAACATTAATTTTTCGTATAAAAAAACCCACAAGCATCCTTTTGATATAGAGTACATAGCAGAAAGTAAGAATTTAGTCTTTCTTGATTATAATTTATACTACCATTGGAATAACCCAAGATAGTTACATTATAATGTATTAAAGATATCAAATTTTCTTTTTTTTAATAATTTAAAATGGTAATACAAAAATACTACATAATCAGGTATTTTATACAGTTATATTCTCAGATGATCTGTAGTTATAAGGTAGAACTGAATTATCCTCACAGATATTTTCTCCTCTTTGTTTTCTGTTGGCATCTTGGGCTATTTCTTTCCATTTATCTGCATGCAGTTCTATTGCATCTTTGTTGATTCTATCTATCAATCTGCTTTTTGGCCTTCCACGTTGTCTTTTGCCTTCTACTGAGGCATTCATTGTTTAGTAGAGGCTTCCAGATGGATCGCTACGAGCTACATGCCCCGCCCATCTTCACCTCTGTGCCTTCATATCATGGGATAACAGTTTCTGTAAACAGTTCTATGTTGGTCTTTCTTTCTTTTCCATGCATTAGTACTCTAATTCCAGATCGCTCCGGTTATTGTGCAAAGGATTTTTCTTCCAACACTTTTTTATAGGGTGCTGGTTAGTGTCCAGTTCGCACAGCCATATATTAGAAGTAGCTTTATCATAGCATTGTACACTCTTAATTTGATATTTCTTGAGATTTTTCAGGATTTCAATATCTTTGAAAGGGAGAAGAAAGCTCTCTTTGCACCAGCTATATGCAGGTCTACTTCTGCCTGTTGGTCATTCATTGAGGTTATTGTGGAGCTGAGGTTTTTGAATTTTTCTTTTCTTAGGGAATGATTTTCCTTTTACACAGATCCTGTTATTGGGGTTATCTTGTCCTTATTATGGTACAAATTTATATCATTCTCTATCTTCATTAAGTAGAGCTCACTGTATCTAAATTTTAAATTCCTTAGATTTATTTTAATAATAGTCAAGTACTTCTTAAGAAAATAAAATATAACAATGTGTTCGTTATTTAATAGCTACATAAATTAACGATACACAATTGCAGGAAATAGACAATATTTAAAAGGAGCTCCTGGAGATTCAAACATAACTATAGGAGGACTTATTAAATCTCCATTTTTCCCTAATTATTATCCACGAGATTTGGGAGTTGAGTATGTAGTTAGGTGTATTAGTGCAGGAGACCATTGCAGAATAAAACTTAGTTTTACTGATTTTCTAGTCTCACCACAATCTATAATGGAGGTGAGTACATTTGTTTTTTTAAAATTAAAATAACTGATAGTATTATTCATTAATTTAAAACTATGATTTCCAATATTCTAGGATTTGTCATATTTTAATTATATCGTTAAATTCTTTCATTAAATAATTATTAATTCATTTAATAATTTATGATTGATTAATATAAAATTATTTTATGTATTTATTTAAACATAATAAATAAAATCATTTAAATTTAAAAGGTAACATTCACCAATGATTTTAATATTTCTTTTTTTTGTCATAATCAGTTTAGTGAAAAAAAACTATCTAACAAGATCTAACATACAAATAGTTGGTTGCTACGATCATTAACATTATACCCACTTAGTAAAATAATAGTTAAATTTAATTCTGTTTATAGGTGATAATGAAATTTGTAGTCTTATCAATTCTTAACTTGTTCAGCAAATTGACATGATCTTTTTTTTTTACTCAGTGGATTTTAAGATGAAAAATTAAAATTACCATCATTGCAATAATATTAGGTTAACCGATTCACTAAAATTATTATGAATACCAAGGTACCAGTGCCCATCCCAGATGTTAAGCATGCCACCCTGCCAACAAAGTTTATTGCTCTCTTCTTAAAAATGATATAAATGAAAGGAAAATTATAGTTTAGATGTTCCTCTTGTCCCTTTGTCCTCCCCAATTGAAACTCTACAAAAATATGGTTTCCTCCGAAAATTCATAACCCTGTTTATATGTGCCGCTTCAAAAAATATTATAGCACAACTCAATGACACCGTGCCTTCTGGGAACATCCCTGATGAGTACTCATAAGTGTGTACAGCTATTAATCTTGATTAAATAGCTTTTGAATTCCAGAAACCTACAAGATTTTTCCAAAAAGTAGTAGTTCTAGAATTGAATCCTGTCAATCAAGAAAGAGCAACTCAATAACTTAGAGCCAGAACTGAATTTTTTCCAGAAGGGGCAAATTTAATTTTGCTATCACTTCTTTACTCCTTTCTCCCTTTTCAAATAAAAGTAAACAGTTTTTAGTAAAACATTAATTAAACAGGAAATGAATTTCAACACATCATTATTTAAAATAACTGATTTAGTAGGTATTTTTTTATTAAAAAATAACTCAATTTTTAAATAAAAATGTCTAGAAAATATTAAACACAAAATAAAATGCTTTCAACAAATAATGATAAATTAAAATAAGTTATAGATAATTGTGTTTTAGTTTTATGACTCAACTGGGCAAAGATTGAAACTTACAAATGGTGTCAAGCCAAGACCACCTATAGTTTTAAGTACTGGTCCATCATTAATAATAAGATTTTTAGCTAATGGTGGTTCTGGCTTAGGCTATAAGGGCATTTACTACTTTGTACTGGGAGAGCCAGAGGAATCATCATTGATTCCAATAACAGGTAAGTTCCCTAGGTAGTTGCAGATAATTAGTAGTGTTGAAATGCAATGTAATTTTTTGTTTCCTAATCAATTTTTGTACTATATTGTTCCACCATTTATTTATTAAATTTTTGCTTCTATTGTTATTCACTTTTTCCAAACTTTTATTTATTTTTCTTAACTTTATAGGCCAGTTCTAACTGTTACCAAATATAACAATGAATGACTGAGGGGAATGAGAAAATAAGAAATGGTCAAGCATGAGGTAGACAGTATCCAGTGGTAAATTTTCCTGACATAGGGTAATAAATATGATTGCCTGGTGAAGGAAATCTCAAATTTAGCTCCTTTTAGGAGTACTAAACCCGAATTATTTGTGGCAGATAATTAATGAGCTTGAAAAAAGTATCTATGAGTTTTGATTATTTATAAAATTTAAAACTCAAATCACACCTGGGAGTACCTCTTGACAACTATATGGCCTCATGGCTGACCATAGATACTGCAGTGGATGAATTTAGTCAGTTACTTGTATTACTTATTATCTACAAGTAGACTGTAATATTTAAAAAAAAAAAACATTATTTTTAATATTGGTATTTATTTTATCAAGAAAATGAAATTTGGAATTAATCTTTGAGTTGATATAAAACAAATAATTTTCAGACTGTGGTGGTGAAGTACAAAATATTGGAGGAGCTATAACTATGATGAACATGGTCCAAGAACATAATCAAAAATATTATGATTGTGTTTGGTTAATAAAACCAATCATTAATTATATAAATCGAGATATGCTTTTATATACCTCTGTCATAACTTTTAGTAACATGGGTATGTTTATCAACAAATAAGTTGGCTATCTTCATATTTTAATTTAATGAAATCATTTACTGATTGAGAAAATTATTATTTCCTGGCTTAATTGGATAGAAGCGGTTCCTAAATTGTAGATTAGTAAATATTTTAGTATCAAGTTGGTCATGATTTGTTTTATACATAACTAGATCTTAGTTTGCCAATTATTAATATGTAGAACCATTATAACTTTATTTAGACTAGCCCGATCAAATATGTAAAATAAATGATCAAAAAATGATTTTTGTTTTGGTCTTGAAAATGTAACAATTGATTATGTTTTTAATTACCTGAGAACTTGTAACACTCGACAAATTACCGGTTAATAGGAGATAGTCTAATCAATACTAAATAGGTAAAATAAAGAACGATATAAAACCAGGTGGCAGCCTTGACCCTTTGTTATTATTAGACTGTGGATGGAACACACTAAACTCTTAGCAAAAAAACAATATGGTAGGAATACAAAATAAATTTGAGGACTGGAATTATTTATGCAGACGGCATTGCAGAGATTTATTAACTGAACAGCAAGCAGATCTTGTAAGAAAAGGTATGCCTATAAATGTAAGAAAAACAAAAAATCAAAATATATAAATGCTTTACGTAATGGAGAACTTTTGGGTTATAAAGAAGATTTTATATACTTGAATATTATTACTGTAAGCAGGAATTCGAAAGTAAATGAAATAAAGTCAAACAGAATCGTAAAAAACAACTATGCATCTTTCTAAATAAGTACTTTCATATTAATATAAACAAGTATGTGTTTGAATATTATGGAGTGAAGTATTCTATTTTTTCTGTCCTAAAGATGCCTGAATTGGTAAAATATTGACATGTTAATATGTTATTACCCAAATTTTAGACACACAAGGGTGTATGATTGAATTTTCTCAGTTATAAACTAACAAATAATTATATAATCTGGAAATAATAAGGTTGGTGTAAGAATGTGTGGTAACATGCTTCCAAATCAATTTACTTTCCAACTAATTTTTCCATAGTTAGTTATGGTTCACTATAGATGAATATTTCAATAAAATAAAACCAGTGAAAAGTTATAAAGGGCTGCAGGACAAAGGAGGAATATTCTAAAAATTTTATTCATTCCAATATAGCATGAAAATGTTTTATCCATTTTATTTCCAGACTATTAAATAAAGGTGTTCTTCAGCAAAGTTGTAAATTGAATTTATTTTATTTATAGCCATTATTTGACAAACAAATTTTTTACAAGCACATAAAACTCTTTTTTTCAGTGTATTTTGAAGAAAACTAGACTCATTTTCATTGTAAAAATAAAATGGCTCTGAAAGTTCAATCAATTAAAACCAATTTTTTAAAAACTTTATTGCATGATCATATTTTTAATTTCCAGAGGCCTCAATTATTTTTAAAGTGATTAATCAACCTTTAATTATAACAACCAATTTTGTTAACATAATTAAATGATTGTTTCCTTTGAAAAAGGAATTATAAAAATAAGTCATAAAAGTTAGGAAACTTCTGTGTAGTATTTTATATTGATATAAGTTTTATATGTACATAATTTTCAGCTGCATTTTTTTTTTCAGGGGAAAATTCCGAAATTTTATTGTATGAAGGACAGACATCAGAAGGAAAACTTTTAGACATAGTCAAACCTTGTTCATCATCTCCAAACACAAGAGTTGTATCAATACATTCTGGCTTTTACATCTCCCTCAAAGCCACTTTTACTAATAAATCACAGCTGGCTATTGTATATACAGTATTTTCAAATATTGGTAAGTCAAGAAACCACTCGTTCAGAGAGGTTCAATTTATTGAATGTGATAATATGACAAATAACTATAATGTAAAAAAACAAGCGGCAATGACCTACTGCTCTATCCACACCACCATCTACTTCCACATTCTCTATGGAGCCCCTTTGGGAGAATGAAAAGACCATGGAGACAGAGAGGTCAGATTTTGGTACTGCTCTCTCCGGAGATTTATGTGGTTCCAACATTGTGTGAATTTTGGAAAGTGGTATACATCTCTCGTAACATTTACAATCTTTAAAGTAACAATTATAAGGTAGACTTACACTCCATTCAGGAATAGGTGGAATGCCATATAGGTATATGTGGAATACTACCACAGGGAAAGTAGAACCGGGATCTCACTTGAGAGTTGCCTTGTTAAAATTAAAGTAGAACTGTGTACGATTGGATGTTCTTAGTAATCCTCCTGTACATTAAAAATTCTTATACTCTATCTCAAGATGGGAAGATATTTAGAGAGGAGATTAATTTATCAGTAATGCATATATTACGTGTTACATAAAATAAGAAAACCTATCTCCTGCCATCTTCATTGCGATACAGTGAATTAATTTCCTAAAATACTACTACTGATTGCAACTAAGAAGTATATTGATCTTTAGTTAATTGATAGAAATTCAATTTTTTTTCAGACTGCGACAGTGGTCAGTACCTTTGTCATAATGATCGCTGCATCAACAAACAACTATATTGTGATGGTTTTGATCATTGCGGAGACAACAGTGATGAACCAGACACTTGTTCAAGAGGTCAGTATTTGAGAAATCAAACACCTCTTTTAGGTTTTCATGTTTTTTAGAAATATCTATTTGTTAATTATCTTTATTTTTATAAAATCAGATCAATTTGCACTTAAAATAATGCACATATTCAATCAGTGATTGAAATCAGCGGATAATATTCCATTTAATCGATATAAATTGATTATTCTACGCATAATAATGAATTATTTACAATACAGATTGGAAAATGGAACCGGTCGATAGAAGATGGTATACTCATACTCCAAACTATTATTTTCCAAAAACTGATAATTATTTAGACTTGAAAACAGCTACATTGATTTTTATCCTGAGTTGTATTGGTAAGTACTTAACTTACTTGGTAGAACTGAAAAATACTATTGTTTTTTAAATGCATATTGTTTTAGGACTGGCAACACTTTTGACTGCACTCCTCATGCTGGTCTACAGGATGGGTATTAGAACAAGGCAGCAAAGAGATTTACAAGAAAGACTTCAAACAATATCAGACCTATTCGGTATATTTTTGTTTGAATTTTTCCTATATATAGACCATAAAATAAATAAAAATATTCCATGGAAGATTAAATGTTTCATTATCCATTTTCTTCCCCCCTCAAAAAAACAACCAACCACCCTCCAAGGTACTACTCTCAAAATTTTCCAAATTTTCTCCTAAACATACTAAACAGATTATAATTACACTCACCATAATAAATAATTATTTTTAAAATGTTTTTATTTATTTGAAATGTTTTTGGGTAAACACTTTCAGAGGAATGCTGGAAAAAAGATTTCGCAATAAGGACAAGCTTAATTTTTCTCCCTTTATTATGTTTAAATATTTTACGTTATTTAATATTTCATTTATTTGATTACAATTTAATAAACCATGTACAATATAAATATTTAAACTAACTTATATTAGTTTAATGTTATAATTTAAATTAGATATATCAGTTGAAAAATCAGGTCACATTAATGATTCTTTGTATACATCTGAAGTACTAGGAATCCGCTGCTTTACACCTCAAAACTTTTCGATTAATGAATTTAATCAGGCTCCATTTTTTCCCCTTAATTTTCTGTTAATTTACTTTTTCTCCATTTGTGCTTGAAATGTGAATTTTATTTATTGTGTACCATTGATGTCATTGGCTATAAGTTACACAATTATGAAGAAACTAATTTCAAATAAATTAAAATAAAATATATTAATTTAAAAAAAAAAAAATTGTCATTTTGTCTCCAATGGTGTATAGCATCTTTCAGAATAAGGAAATCTTCATAATGATGCTACAACATTTTAAAAAATTTCCATAAACTTGCATCTTTTATAAAAATGAATTTTTGGTTCTAATGTTGAATGTTTTCACACTGTTTCTCATTTTAGTTCCAAAAGACTTCTCATCAGCCAGACAAAGTGGACATATGTCCGCCACTTCTTGGAAATTAACAAAAAGAAAAATACTAAAGTATAAGAGACAAATTAATTTTAGCCACTTAATAAAAAAAAACTAATTAGAAGTAAATTGAATGAAATTCGGTTAAAATATGTTTCAATAAACAGTAGCTTAAAAAATCTATTTTAAATTGATATTTTGGGGAGGGAGGAAAAGAGCACTCATGATTTCTCTGGGATGCAAAATGTCTCAGGCTGGCAATAGATCTCAGCTCCGGGCACTAGAGGATCCAGGATTTAATTTAGGGGGAGGGGAGCTTAAGCCCGAAAGATTTTTTTTTTTCATATATATAACGATAATTAATTTGAAAAAAAAGATAAAGAAATGAAATCCCTATATGGAATGGTGTTTAAGTGATTCTTGAAGTCCTATTAAATGTAATTACACGAACAATAATACTTTAAGAGATATTTTTAATATTTTTTTCTATAAAACATGGTTATATTTTACCGTTTGGGGGGGGGGCTTCAGCCCGAAAGCCCCCCCGTAAATCCGCCTGTGGCTTCCGGCGGGTGTTATTTAAAAATATTGAGCATTCTGATGTTTATTCTCTCCAAAGGAAATGTGAAAAAGTGAATGAGTTCGTTTTCAATCGTTTCAATTCACCGAAAAATAATTAAAAGCCAATTCTGTATGCAGCGTTTTATCTGTGAGTGAAGCCAAGTTGATCAATATTTCAGCGCATGAAACCCAAGTTTTTAATAAAAAGAAAAGAAAGGTTTGAGACTACTCTTATTTTTGTATTCTTAGATTAATAAATAAAATTGTTAGCTGCAGTTTGCTAATTTTCTTAGAGTTTCGAAATACTCATCTCTTTCATATATCACATGTGAAACTTTTTAGGTGTAGTTTCAGGAAATGTTCGCAAACTAACAGCAACTAGGGTCAAAAAAACATCGTTATCGTTTTATGGGACTTATTTATTTCTTTATTTCAGAAATCGAGAAGGGAAAATATATCTCTAAAAGAGAATTCACCTTAACTGATGATGTACTCTGTTGCATTTTGAAAACTGACGCATCAAAGTCATCAAATTAGGCCAGTCTGAAGGTAGTTGGATGAGGCAAAAATTCAAATAGTCGGTTTCTCTTTAATATTTTATGTTTTTTGGGATGCTGAATCCGCATTTGATGTTCCCGAACGAAATTTTCCATTGCGTTCCGAAATATATACAAAAAACAGCAAAATTGCCAAACTTTTTTTGTTTTGTTTTTTACATGACTCCGAAACGATGCATTTTATCGAAATTATTGTTATATACAAAGTTAAAGAAGATATAATTTACTATGAAGTTTATGCATAGCTTTTTGATTTAGGTCCAACGGGTACAAATATTAACGTGTTTACACGGGCGGATCTACGGGGGGAGGGGAGGCTTTCGACCCTCCCCAAAATGGTAAAATGTAACCATGTTTTGTGGAAAAAAAATTAAAGTATTATTGTTCGTGTAATTACATTTAAAAGGACTTTAGGAATCACTTAAACACCATTTCATATAGGTAGTTAGTTTCTTTCTGTTTTTCTAAAGTAATTATCGTTATTTTTATGAAAAACAAAGTTTTTGTTGTAACAAAGTTTTGGGCTGAAGCCTCCCAAAATTATACTCTGGATCCGCTAGTGCGTGTTTAAATGGGGTACATAGAAAATTCAATGCTCTTTCAAATTTTTGGGGGAAACCGACGAAAACACATATTTCTTCTGAAATAAGCATATAGTCAATATTCTCTAACTCCTCACCCGTTGAACCTACATCAAATAGCTTTGCATAAAATTGATAGTAAATTTTATCTTTTTTAACTTTGTATATAATAATTACGATAAAATGTATCGTCTCAAAGTAATGTCCAAAAAACAAAAAAAAGTTCAGAAATTTCGTTTTTTTCATACATTTTTTTCAGAAAAAAAGTTTTTTTCATACATCTCGGAACGCAACGGAAAATTTCGTTCGGGAACATCAAATTCAGATTCAGCAAATACATAATTCCCAAAAAACATAAATTACTAAAGAGAAACCGACTATTTGAATTTTTTCTTTATCCAACTACTTTCAGATTGGCTTAATATGATGACTTTGACGCGTCAGTTTTCAAAATGCAACAGAGTACATCGTCAGTTAAGGTGAATTCTGTTTTAGGGACATATTCTTGACACATACAAATTTCAGCGGTATGTTCTTCTGTTAAAGGAACCGTCAGATGTCGCCTGGAAGTTCTTCCAGTTAATGAAAACGGCGGTAGCTCCTAGTCTAATTCTTCATCGAGGGTTCATCGAATGACGAAATAAATGTTGTTATTAATTTACTACTGATTAAACAGTTAATTATTGAAATTTATCCTCTTAGCTTCAATAATTGTTCTTTTACTGCAATAATCATATTACACTATTTGGACAGGACAGGTTTTGGTTTTGGTTGCAATTTGGGAAAAAAACTGCTAAAGATGTATTTTCAAATATTGTATTTTTTTTAACATTTGATTTTAATGCTTGGTGAATTTCGAAGCATCTTTTAGAGAAAGAATCCAATTATTAATATATAAACCAACCATTAAATGAAAATTGCATTTTAAGTACTGTATTATTGTATTAATGATAGTTTTGTATTATAATAATAATATATGCACATATTTCTCTGTATGATAGGCCGCGGGAAGTTCAATATAAGCCCTGTTCAAAATAAATTATTTGGAAGTGATTTTTTTTAATAATACGATTCAACATTTCGACTAAACTATTAAGAGTATATTACTAAACAAAGATTCAATTATAAATTTTGTTTTTTAATTTAATAATATACATTGGAAATTTGTTAATTTTATGTTGCGTAATATAAATGTTACGTAATTCTTAAAATGACCCATAAGATGTTGAAAAGCTCCATTTCTTATAAAAAAAATAAAGCAAATTCAATGACATTATGATCTTTACTTATGCGGCGTTTAATGCGCATAAGCGACGCTGCTGCGAAAAAGGAAGAAACCCAACTCTTGTAATCAGAAAATTTATAACCTTCTCTATTTTGGAACTGATAACGTTCAACTAATTCGGCTGACATTTGTTGCATAATGATCCTGGATTTTGTGTCGTTGACATACCAGTATTATGTTGTTACATTACTTCTATTATCAATTGAATTGAAAATGAATATGTTCAATATATCAAAAAAACGATACAAAGTGAGCCCAATTTATGTAATTTAGTGTTGTGATTATGGACTCAGAATGATGTAGATGGTAAGTTTTGTACATATAATATCAAACACATAGTTAAAAGGTCAGTCAATGCAAAACACGAAATAAGAAAATATATAGTGCAGGTTTGTCCATTTATTAAAAAATTCTCAAAAGTTATTCCTTATTTGTACAGAAGGAGCCCATATATCCGAAATGGATGCAAATGATGATCCACCAATATATGAGCCTCCACCGAGCTATGAAGAGGTGATGAAGAAAGAAAAAGAAAAGATAGTATCAAGAAAAAACTATTCAAGGTAAAACATGATGAAATTATTTGGGTAATTGTTTTTAGTTACTTCATAGGACTTTCCCTTAAGTGTTAAATAGCTCTAAGCTTTAATTTTTGTTTTAAATATTTTTTTATTTAACAACTCTATTATTGGCTCCTTATAATTCTATGTTTTAAATATAAATTTTGACTATTGAATCTTCCAATTTTTATGAAAATTAAATTTAATATCCATTTGTTATAATCTAAGCTTGAATGCTGTTACAACTGTCAAGCTTCCAGATTCACCTCCACCACCTTACAAAGGTATATAACATTACTTTGTAATGATATTTTGTGAAGTATGTTTATTACAATAATATGATTGTTTTTAGATGATCTTAAGGCAGTAGTAGATGAAATAAATGCATGGGCTCCATTCTATGACAATAATGATGGGGCTGGCCCAAGTACGGGATCTAATACAAAAATTGTTCCAGAAACGTCTTCAGCACAAAGGAAGCCCTTTGATATAAGGTATTTAACAACATGATGTGCTCATTCTCCTGTTCTTCCATTTTTGAACACAAATAAGGAAAAAATATTGTTGGAATAGTTTCAGCAATTACCTTTTCATCCACAGTATATCATTCAATGTACAAGCTTTAATTGAAAACCTATAGGTTTTAATATAGTAACAAATATAAATATACACTATACTCTTGCTACATTGTGGGTGAAGGTGAAATTATATCATTTGGGTTTATATCGGTGACAGAATAATGTACACGTTTTTTTCCATACCTGAGAAAATCAGGGAAACTCAGTTTTTTTTAATCTAAAATTGTTAGATAATTTTATGCGAAAACATTGACAGTCCGAGAATTTACAATTTTAATTTCATAAATAATGAGAATACAAGTGAGACATTGCTGTTAAGATTCTTTATTGCTTAAAATAACTTTATATGATAGTGATATGTACATATCAACATGTGTCATATGATATATTGATATAATACTTCAAACGTCTTATGAACTGTCATATCATTTTTTTGTAATAAACATTATTTCATTTTTCAGTTACTGATTTTTTACTTTCATTTATCCATCATGAAACAAGAGAAAGCATTGCGATAGTATAAAATTTCAAATCCAAGTTTACAACTGAAATGCCCATTTTTAGGTCTCTTGAGTCCAAATAACCAAGTCAGTGAGTCTGAGAACAGGTCTAGCTTAAAAAAGAGAAGTCATTTGATAATTAACTCGTGAGTGGGCTTTTGCATAGAGTGAAACAGCTGGACAGAATTAGGTTTTTTTTTACCCTTTCAGGCACCCTGAGGCTGTAACCTCACAGGTATTCCTTGCAAGTACCCTCTGCTAAATGATCATTGAATTTGGTTAGGAAAATGTTGGCAAATTCTGTTGCCACTCACTAGCGGATCCAGGATTTATTTTTGGGGGGGGCTTAAGCCCGAAAGTTGTTTTTTTCATAAAAATAACGATAATTACTTTGGAAAAAAAGAAAGAAACTAACTACCTATATGAAATGGTGTTTAAGTGATTCCTAAAGCCCTTTTAAATGTAATTACACGAACAATAATACATTAAGAGATACTTTTTTAATATTTTTTTCGATAAATTATGGTTATATTTTACCATTTTGGGAGGCTTCAGCCCGAAAGCCCATTTTCAGGAAAAAGTTGCTGTAACTTAAAGGTATGCATACCATTAATGCATAATATCAGTATTGTACTACTTTTCATTTTTGAGCTAGACTGTTTACATATGCGCACACACACACACAGACCATTTTGTGGAACTTGAGTTATTTGGACTAAAGGGACCTCAAAATGTGTATTTCCTTTGAATTCTCGATTTCGAAAATTTTCACGATTGCAATACTTTTTCTTACTATATATCACATATATAGGTAATTGAAAGTAAAAACATGCTGTGCACAGAATTTTCGTAATTTATATTAATTGTCCTAAGTTTATGTTTGTAATAAAGTTTTATTAACTTCAAAAAAATTAATTTCTATTGGAAATAGTGTGATCCATCGCACTAGATAGTTTCTTATTATTATCTTAAAATTGAATTGAGGTATTAGTACATTTGTTATGTTTTTAGATCATTTCTCGGAAGTGTTGGTTGTGGACTACGTGAGGAATGTGACTGTGCCGGAGCTTGTAGCTGTGCTCTAACTCGTCGTAGCAACTTTTCAGCTACATGGTCTCCAGCATCTTCTCGCACGAATGCTATAGATAATCTCTTACAGAATATTCACTCACAAAATCGGAATCCTGAGTCAAGTGATGGAAAATCTTGTGTAAAAGGGAGCCTATCTGCTGATAATATTTTTCAGTCAGAGTGCATGTAGTTTTATTTTTTATATTTGGACTGCTTGTAATTAAATATAAATATATTTGTAAATAATAGGTCACAGAGGTTTTGAAAGATATTTTATTACTTGATCAAAAAATAATTAATATTTATAAAGTAAATAATGAGCTAGGAAATAAAAGTGCATATAAATTAGATCTATCCATTTCAGCATATTATATTTCCCTTATTAAGTTTTCTATTATCAGCTGTGAATATTAATTTAGTTGTATACTTTATCAATTTACAATTAGTTATTATTTTTTATTATTGTTACAATTTTTATTTATTCTGTTATTTTAAATATTTAAAGACTAAAATTATTTAGTCTGTTATTTTACATATAGTTTTATTTAAACTAAATTAATACCAGCATTTTGTTTATAAGTGCATAAGGAAATAGAAAATAAAACAATTAAATCAGCAAAATAAAGTGTGATGTATATTTAATAATTAACGTCATCATAGTCATTCCCTCTTCTACCGCCGTTCGGTGTGAGGGTCCTGCTTATAGAGGCTGGCCCAGCTGTCCCTCTCTTATACTAGCTCTATTCTCCTATTCCAATCCAATCCGCATTTTCTGTATGCCTCATTTACATTGTCCTCCCAGGACATGCGAGACCTTCCTCTGGGTCTTTTCCCTTCCGTGCGGGTCTCGTAAGTCTTCCTGGCGCTTCTATCTGGATCCATCCTAAGATGTCCAAACCACCTTAGTTTGAGCTCTTCTAGAATGGTCTCTACCAGTTTCACGTTGAGATTAGCCCAGTCCGTATGGTGGCATTCCGTATCCTATCTCTCCGTGTCTTTCTTTCTATTTTACACAGATACCTCATTTACATGGCACATAATACACAATTTTCACTTAACACCCTTTTTTTAAAAGCAAAAACAGTTAGTTTCACACAAAGGGAAGAAAAAGTTGAAATTATAAATGGTAAGAAATATTATTTAAAACAATTAATTACTATATGTTTTTCATAGCCTTATATTACATTATTTTTACATTCGTACCTATATAACTATCTCGTCATTGTTAGTTGTAATGAAAAATGGCTCGACATAAACTTAGAAATAATTTGATAATTGACTAAAGGAGAAACAATTTTTTTTTTTGTTCGGAAATAAATTTACAGAAATAATATCCAGAATATATAAGTACAATATATCATTTGAAAGTTGAGGATTTTAGAAAAATAATCTATCTTTATAATATTATACAATAGTTTTTTGCTGTAACGATCTATTTTCCGGCTCTCAGGAGCGATGGATTTTGATGAATGAGGCATTAAACAAAATGGGTATATTAAATGGAGCAGTGATGAATCATAGTAATACCCACCTGAAATTTTAGGGAAAAAAGTTATGAATGAAAAAAAATCTTTATTTGCTAATTACTGAAAATGGTATACGTTTTCTTGATTAGACGCATGATTATTTGAAAATTTCCAAATTCCATACAAAATGAAAAAAATTACTATTAAAATCAATATGGACTGATCAATATTGACCTTGTTAAACATAACTTAATTAGTTAAAGTCCAATATTTGATTAATTAAGTTATGTTTCACAAGGGCAATTCAGTCCATATTGATTTTAATTGTTTAAAATAGTTGTCTTCCCTTGAAAATGGCCTAAGGGGCTGAAATGTTAGTGTATAAAATAAAATGATCAAATATGTGCATTTATTATTACATACCATTAACATATTTTTATATTATATTGATAGTTGTTGACTGACTAATATTCTATGCAAATTATTCACACGTTCCAACTTATTTACATTAATTTAATAACTTTAGATCTGATATGATATTTCAATAATTAGGTATATATCATTGAGTTCTTCCGAAAACTTATTAAATAACTTTATAGGAAAATTAAATTAGTGAATAATATGATGAATCTTCCCTATGTGACATCACGACATTATTCACATACTTACCTATAGTATGAAGACTTTAGACTTCTATGGTATGCAATGAAAAGATTGTAACTATATTTTGGTAAATTTTACAAAGAAAAAAAAAATGTGTTCAAATGCATGTAAAAAGTGATAGAGATTTAGTTTCTAGTTTTTACTGTATAGTACTTATCCTCACTGATTTATAAATTCAGTATATATCTATGTGTTCTTTTAAATCGTTCTTTGTACATAGACCTCAGAGACTGGAGTAATGTGGTTTAAATATACTGATGGAGTTAAGAGGTTTTATTATCTATCATCAAAATATCCACAAATGCGTTATTTAAGATTTCTTCATTAAAAATGCTCTTCAAAAACTTTTTTAGCCCGACAAAAATTTCTATTCAAAGTAAGGGCGGCGTTAAGTGAAAGCTGTGTGATACTCACACCAGATTTTTTTTTCACTTTGCATTCCATTTTTGTCACTTAAATTTGACCATAAGGGTAAGTGAATCGTTTTACATGCTCAAAGATGTAACTCTTTGCTATGAAATCGATGATGTTATCATCTGAAGTGCACATATATTTTTTTTTCCACTGATTTGTAGACCCATTTTTTTTTTGCTTTAAAATTAAGCTCTTGGAGTGATTTTCTAGACACCATTCCAACATTCCATGCTAAGAGATATACATCACCTGTGTAGGCACAAATTTACACATAAGTGTAAACTTGCAGTAATATTAGATTTTCGCAAAACTTTATGGAGAGAAATATTACAATTTTATTCAAATAAAATTTTCTTTCTTTTAAAACAAATTCATATTAAAAGGATCATAGTTATCTTTTCATACTTCCTCCCACACCAAATCACGTCTGAAACCCCATCATTTCACTAACTTGACTTAAAAATAACTAAGCTTTAAATAATCAGTAGTTAAAAACAAACTAATTGAAGACTGGACATCAACAATGGGCTAAGTGCAAACCAAACAGATTAAGTTAGATAATTTTAGGAAAGTTAAATGTCACTATATTTAATATCGATTAGGTATTTAGGCCAATTTTCACATTGTTGGGCATTAAATTAATCTTGCCTAAAATTACTGGAACTCAATTTTGTCGCTTCAGCATTTAGTCAAGTCATTGATTTCTAGCCTTCAATTTATCCTCTTTTTTGTAATCCATCTTTAAGTTCCTTATGTTTAATTTTCTCCTGGAAATAGTCCTCAACTGTTAGATAGATAAAAGACACTATATCTAACTCACAGCTAGAGGTTGCCGCCCTTTTCTAAAGAGCCTACTATGTAATAAATGTCAATTCAGGAAGTAGGTGAATATATGGCATTCTATGCTTAGCTTCTACTACCTTAAATTATCTATTTACTTTTTTTTTTTTTCCAAATCTATTAACTATATCTTAACTTATTTTAATTTTAATTATATTATTCTTAAGTTTTAAGAAGTTCAAAAATAACTTTTATTTTCAAGCAGTTTTATTTGCAGTTTTCAGTTTTTGATCCTTTTTTTTTGTTCTTTAATTTCTTGATATTTATCTAAAATAAGCTTTGCTGACATCCTTTTAGCAATGTCTTTGTTTTTTCCATATCCTATTTAAATATAAATCAAATGAGAATAAAGGTTTAAAATTAAAGTAAACACTACTTATGTTGCTATTTCAAGAGTTTTGTGATGGGACGTATGAATTTGATAATTATGATCCTCATAGATTGAAGAAATTTTTAAAGTGTTCTTTATTTGGGTATCAACTAATTAATTTTTAGATGTCTTCCCATAAACAGATTAAAAAAAAAATTAGTAGTTCACATTTTTCCCCTCATAATCTTAAACTCAGATAATTTTTCAGTAACTTTTTAAAAATCAGCGTCATGTTGATATCAATTTTTCACTAAGAAAATCAACATGGTATTTATTTTATCATTTTGAGAAAAATAAATATATTGTATATTTAATAGTTGACCGTTGCATTATAAAGGAAGGAGATGGTCCTGGGTGGCGGTCATAAATAGGCTAAATAGTGGTAAAACTATTTTTATTAAAAGCCAAGGTTTCAACACGACTTTGCAGGTCTTCTTCAGGGAGATGTGTTCAGCTAGGAGTTTCACTTAAAACTGTAGAGTGAACACACTTCCCTGAAGAAGACCTGCAAAGTAGGGTCGAAATGTTGGCTTTTAATAAAAATAGTTTTACCACTATTTAGCCTATTTATGACTGCCACCCCCGGATTGTATTACACTTTTTCTACAGTCCTATCAGGAATAATAGTTCAAATTTTCTAATTACATAATGCTCGAACTCTAATAATTAACTTACCCACAGCATTTAGACCAAGAGCTTTACATCGAATATGGTTTCCAGTAGTGTTTAACAAGGGTGTGTAAATTGGAGACCTTTGGTATTCCTCTTTAGACAATGATTCTAACTCTTCATCAAATGGCAGATATTCACTCATCAACATTACTGCTCGCTCTAGTCTGTAGGAGATAATATAAGTATTCTATTTGTGAAATAGTTCAAAACTCAGTACATCAGATGAACATACTGTTTTTTTTTTTTTTTTCATTATGAATTAATATTACATTGACAACCAAAGTATTGTCTTTTGTGAATACATATTATTTTGTTATTTTTATAGGAACATTATATATATCCTTAATTAACTCAGGTATAGAAAATATTACTAATATAAACAAATTTCATGATCACACTGAAATCTATGTGTCGATTTCTAAGCCCTCTCTCATCCTACAGCCTGATTCCATAAATTATGTAGAAAAACTGTCAACATTGTTTTCTTCTTATTTATTTTTTTTTGTAAATGTGGTGCATACTTTTAGGAATATTATTCAAATGTCAGAATGAAAAATCTTTATTAAAGGGAGAAGTACGTCCCACAAGCTGCAGATTGCTCATCCCTGAATAGTCAGATATACTGTAGCATTTAAGGGTGAGGATTGACGGAGACTCAGCAAGAAGATATAAGAGCATTATTCAGGAGGACATTGGGTAATATAATCGGCACATTATATTAAAAAAATTCTTAGAAAATTCTTTTCCCATCTTTAGATCATGGTTGGCTGTAAAATGAATTGGCACCTTCATACAGAGCATATGAACTGAAAACTACTGATACTCTCCTTCACTATAAGAACATACATACACAACAAACAATGCTCTTGTTATTAAATACAATTTCTGGTATATCAATCATCAGTAAAAAAATAGTCAATTATTTTTTTTTATTTGATTTTTTTCCAAATAAAAATGAACTTATGTAGTCTATACTCCAACATAATATTCTCATATGAAATAACAGGTAGGTATCTTTATGATTTTTTATCAAAAAATTAGAAAACGTGAGATTTTACAAACTCCACTGCTCAAAATTTGGAATTTCAGAGTACTAATAATCATATCATATCTTAAAAAATATTAATTACAATACTACCATGAATCTATCATTTTTGGAACTTAAATTAATTTTATAGGCCATCATACGATCACTGCAATAGCTTACTGGTCAAAGTTTAAGGGTTTCAACTCTGGGGCTAACTTCCCTCTTTTTTGCCTCATTATAACAGTTTTAATTAAATTCGCAGCAGCACGTTGTTTTGCAATGACTCTTTTTTTCCCACGTCCTTCTCCTACCAATTAAGTTTAATTTAATTAATGGCAACAATAAATATTAATATTAGTTTAAAGAATTTAATACTAATTAGATGCTATAATATGAATATATGTAATTTCTAAATTTGCTGTATGAATACAAGTTATTTATTTTGAATGATGCATAAAGTTAAATACAAATAAAAAAAAAAATGTATATTTCAAAAAATTTGTGGACATTTTTACATTTAATTCTTAGCTACATTAAATTCCAGCAATTATGATTACAGGATTCTCTACACCACTTTTAATTTTCCGAAGAAATAATACAGCTTCACGACCATCAATTAATCGATGATCATATGTAAGGGCAACATACATCATTGGCTTAATAACAATTTGCCCTTTGACAGCTACAGGTCTTTCAAAAGTTGCATGCATTCCTAAAATCGCTGATTGCGGGGGATTTATAATTGGTGTTCCCATCAATGATCCAAAAACTCCTCCATTACTTACTGTAAATGTTCCTCCATTCATATCATCAATGGATAATTTTCCTCCTTTGGCCTTTTCACTCAGCATATTGATGTTTTTTTCAATATCAGCAAAGTTCATTTCAGGAACATTTCTTATTATTGGGACAACTAAACCTTTAGGAGTTGCAACTGCTACTGAAATGTCAACATAGTCTCTGTAGATAATTTCATTATTCATAATATATGCATTAACGATTGGTTGGTCTTGAAGTGCATATGAACATGCTTTAATGAAAGTTGACATAAAACCCAGTTTAACACCATGTTTTTTAGTGAAAGCTTCTTGATGTGCTTTTCTGAAAGCTATCACATTAGTCATGTCAATCTCATTAAATGTAGTCAGCATAGCAGCCTCATTTTGAGCTTGTTTTAATCTCTGGCCAATTTTTTGTCTTATTTTCGTCATTTTAACTCTATACTCACTTCTTGTGCCAGTGATTTCTTTTGAAGGGTCTTTGGATACAGGTTTCCTATCCTGTATTGGTGTAGATTGTGTGATGGGGGGTGCATATGCCGGTTTCGGTATATCTACAGGTTTAGGTGTAACTGCAGGTTTAGGTGTACTTGCAGGTTTAGGTGTACTTACAGGTTGAGATGTACCTGCAGGTTTAGGTGTACTTGCAGGTATAGGTTTAGCTGGTTGTGGTGGAGGAATTGCTTTGGGAGTTTGCTGGGCAGGTTTTGCATCTGCTTCTTTAGCAGGAGCAGGACCAACTTTTAATCTAAATACTTTTTGTTTAGACTTCAAAGTCGCTCCTTCTTCTACATATGTTTCCACAATCACTCCATTGGCTGGTGAATGCACTTCAATAACAGTCTTATCAGTTTCAATATCACATATCACTTCATCAACTGCAACACTGTCCCCTACTTTCTTTCTCCATTTTATATCTCCCTCTGATATAGCTTCAGGAAATTCTGGTACATTAACATCTATTTCTTCACGAAGTATACTTGACATTTTAAATGATCTTGTATGAACACTAAACAATGATAATGCTTTAATATTGTTATTATTTCTTGTATAACTAAATATAGTGTATCTACTATTTAATAAAGGAATATCAAATGTTTTAGGTATCGTCTTTATATTTCTAATAGGCATTTTCCTGATAATGGAGACGGCATTTTTGGTTGATAATCTTATGGATAAACATAATATACCTGCCATTTGAGTTCTTGTAGCATAACCAATATTACATGCAAATTGTTTAATGTAAGGCGAGCTATTATTTCATTAGCAAGCTTCTTTTCTTCATGCCGATTTCTAGTTGACGTCCTCAACTTTTAAGCACAAATTACAACATAGCAATCATTAAATAACATTGCGACGAATAAGAAACCTAACTCGAAAATTCAAACAGTCAAAATAAACGCGGATTAACCACCGAATAGGGAACTCGAAGTAGCTCCGCAGGGCTGCCACACGAAGAAATCAGAACAAGAAGTTATTTTCAGACCTTTGTAAGCAACAAATTATACTGCATGCTTTAATAGAATTATTCCTAACACGGTTACAACCTCTAATCAGCTTTCAGCTGTAAAAAAAAATTCACAAACTTCCAGAAATATTAAAGAGAATATATCAATACTTGATCTGATCAATCGATTTAAAGAATTGGTTGCTATGTGACGTGAATCCACGTGAGTAAAAATGAAAATTTTGAATTTTTACTGAAAAATTCAAAAGCGATTATTCAATATTCTCATTTAATATGAATAGAGCATCTATCGGACCATCTAATCGGAAAACACAAATAAAGAAAAGGCTAAGGAAAAAATGATATATTATTATGTAGATAAATCAAGGAGGGTTACTTCATTATGATGAATAGTCATTAAAATAATTTCATTAATAGAAAGCCTGGGTAGTGTAAATACTGTATTACAATTTTAAGAGTCCAGCATGTATGTGATCAATTAAATAAAATGATTTAAAGAAGATTAAACTGAAGTATAGCAGGGGCAGGTATAGCAGAGTGGTTAAAGCGCTATACTGGCAAAGCAAAGATCGTACGATCGAATCTGGGCCCTACTTCCCAAAACCGCTGGTTCTCGCGGGGAATTAGACCATAATACTCCCTCCCCGTTAATTAGGGAGAGGCCTACAAATTATAAAACTTGTATGAATGAATAGGCTGTAAAAAAAAAAAAAGTATAGGGCAAGTTCCTAAACTCAACTCTAAATCATTGATAAATTTCCGATAACTCCATTATCTCTCAGTGCTGAATATAGGAACTTCCCATCTGTCACATTGATGAGTTTGTTAGCAGCCGTCAGAATTTCCGATGTTCATCAATTATCTCAGTGCTGAGTTTAAGAACTTGCCCATTCCTTAAATCTGAGCAGAAAGGTGGAATAGTAGGATAGTTACAAGGTATAAATACAATAAATACAGTTTAAAGGTGTAAATAAATAATTAAGAATGCAATAATAAACAAACTTTTTTATATTTTAAAACCTAGTTATTTAATTCGTGATATGTTTATAATTTGACCAGTGCAGACAATTAGATGTTATTTAGTCAAAAACTGGGTAGATAGTAACATGAAGACGCTAGTAAAATAATAAAATAAAATAAATAAAAAGTAATGGTAATCGCTCTAAATTCAAGGTTCCTGCATGATAAATCTTCAATAACTGCCAGGGTGGCAGGTTGGGGCAAATTCTGAAAAATGTTTTAAAATTTCAAACATTTGTTAACAATAGAGTCTATCTAGTTTTTAGGGAGATTTGCGAAATGGACCTATATTGCTTGCAATTGTTTGAAACGTCGCAACAGCTATGTTTATTTTTAAGAACCGATGTTTCAGCTGTCTTAGAATTCACTAGAAGTACACAATTCTTTCCAGCTCATATCGGTAGGTTTGAACAAAATATAAAACATACAAATATAAAAATATAAAACAGCTCTAAATATAAAAAAGATGGTTTTCATTCATTCTTCTATTATTTCACATCAGGGCATTATTAATGCGATAATTTAGTTAAAAATTGTTGGACATGACGGGGAAACAGGAGTGTGTTACTAACAGGAGTGCCTATCCTTCCCAAGGTCGATAGTGCAAAAATCTCTCCCTCCCGTTAACAATATGTTTTATTGCTCTCCTCTTCTTGAAACAGTGCAAGCTTAAGTAGAACTTAAAAAATCATAGGTCATAAAGTATTACAATTTCTGTGTTATGTTCTTTGCTTTCCTCTTGCACCCCTGGTTTGAAACTTTCCATTTCGAAAATACTTAACCTCATCGAAATGTGCCCCCTCAAAAATACAAAATCCCGTCAAAAGGCGCCTCCTCAAAAATTTGGATGGCACAATTTGCGCGATTAAACCCCCTTCTGGGCACCCCTGATACTACGTGCTAAACAAAAATACTACAATAAAGTCTATGAATATGTACGACACGTTCGAATTTTATTAAAGTAGCAGGATATGGCAATAATAAAAACTGTTTTAAATAATATTTAATTTTGCTACTACGAGAAGAATTCTTGTTTTTTGGAACATAATTCCCCTCCATTTCCTGGGAGTAGTATATACATAATATCATTAAACCACAAAAACATACATTACAAATTAATATTAGCCTTTTCGCCAAGGTCTGCATATTTTTGCAAACAAAATACACTGCTAATATAAGGCAGGGGTGTCCAGAAGGTGTTGCGTTGAAAATTTTAATATTAAGCAACATTTTTATAATTCTTGGAATACTGGGGATAACGACGATGCCCCACCCCGCATAAGTCTGCACGATCCAAAAACGAGAGTTTTCGTTAATTGAACTGTATTGTTATTCGTAAATTGAACTGAATTACAGCTTTAAATTGCTTTTAGGTGGTCTTTACGATTGGTAATAATAAAATACAAGGTAAGAGTAAGTAATATATAATTTGTGTTTATCCTGGGCGAGAGATTTCACTAACAGTCAAAGTTAAAAAAACAATTAAATCTCCAGATTTATGATTAACACAGGTAACAGTATTTTATTTTTGTAAAAAAAAAAAAAATGCTTTAGTAAAACGTTCATATCGGTGTCGGAGAGCAATATCGATTATTAATTTCATTGATTCTACAATAATGTCACAACTGTAAAAGAAAACCATTCGTAACCTCCCCAATGTGTTTGTGGGACCATGTGACTTGTTATATGTTTAGAGCTGTAGTGTTTTGATTTTTGGAAAGTTATATTGACTCTCGTGATTTTATTTAATGCACCAAAGCAGTTAGAGATTCTTGTTTTAAATTTTACTTTTTTTTTAATTAGTAATTTTTTAAGATGGTATTCAATAAAGATAAATTAAAGAGAAAATTGACTAACGAAAAGGTTACTAAGAAAAAGGAAAACGAACATGAGACGTTTAGTGAAGATATCATAGATGATATACCATTGAAAGAAATTGATCTTAATGATGATTCTGAAACAGATGATGAATCTGAAATTGACTCTAGTAACGATGAGCATGAGGATGGTAGCTCAGACTCTACAGTATATAGTGATAGTGAAGAGTTTGAATCAGATGAAGAAGAGGAACATGAAGATAGCAATAATACTACTACAAAGCTTGACAATACTACTTCTGAAAGTTCTATTGTCAAAAAAGGTACTAGCGAAGCTCAAGAAAACACTCAAAAAAGCTCTAAAGAAAATGATGATGATGAATATGCTAGCCATGATACATCGGATGAGGAAGATATTAGGAACACTGTAGGAAATGTACCCATGAATTGGTATGATGAATATGAGCATATTGGTTATGATTGGGAAGGAAAAAAGATTATGAAGCCTAATCAAGGTGACCAGATTGATATGTTTTTGAAAAAAATGGAAGACCCTAACTTTTGGCGAACTGTTAAAGACTCTCAGACCGGTCAAGATGTTGTGCTATCTGATAAAGATATAGAATTAATTAAGAGAATAGAGTCGCATAAAATTCCAGATAAAGATTATGATGACTATACACCATGGGTTGAGTGGTTTACTTCAGAAGTAATGGACATGCCATTGCGGAAGTTCCCTGAGCATAAGAGATCATTTTTACCAAGTAAAGATGAAATTAAAAAGGTTTCTAAATATGTTCATGCTATGAAAATGGGTTGGATGAAGTCTAGAAGAGCAATGAAACTTTCAGAAAAAAGAAAAATGGAGCGAGGACCTCAATTTTATATGTTATGGCATTCTGATGATGCAGCTGAAGAAATGAGAAGAATTCACAATCATATCCCTGCCCCAAAACGTGCCTTGCCTGATCATTCTGAATCATACAATCCTCCTGAAGAGTATTTATTTAATCAACAAGAACTGAAAAAATGGAATCGAGAGAAAAAATCAATAGGTAACAAAAAATTACATTTTGTTCCACAAAAATACAATTCCCTTCGTGAAGTCCCATCTTATAAACGGTTTATTAGAGAGAGATTTTTAAGATGCTTAGATCTTTACATGTGTCCAAGAGCTATTAAAATGAGGTTAACTATTGAACCAGAAGATCTTTTACCAAAATTGCCTACCCCTAAAGATTTGCAGCCTTTTCCTACAGTTGTGTCTATTACCTATATTGGGCATACAGATATGGTCAGATCAATTACAATTGATCCTTTTGGTCAATATTTGGCATCTGCTTCGGATGATTCTTCAGTCAGATTTTGGGAGGTTAGTACTGGAAGATGTTTGAAAGCATTTAACATTAATGGAATTGGTAAATGTATAACATGGTGCCCGAATCAAGCTGTCTCTTTAGTTGCTGTAGCTGTCGAACGAAGGATTCTTTTGATTAACCCACAATTAGGTGATAGTTTAGTGATCACTAAAACTGATGATCTACTTGATACACCTCCACCGGAAGATAAACTCACTTCAGAAAGAATTAAGGCTGCAGTCCAATGGGAACATGTTTCTCCTTCCAATGATGATTGGAATAAGGGAATCCGTATTGTGCTTCACCACTTCAAGGAAGTTAAGCAAGTTTCATGGCATGGGAGAGGAGATTATTTTGCAACTGTCATGCCTGATGGTGAAAATAGATCTGTTTTAATTCATCAGTTATCCAGGAGAAGATCTCAGCTACCGTTTTCTAAACCCAAAGGATTGGTTCAAGCTGCTTTGTTTCATCCAATTAAACCTCTATTCTTTATTGCTACCCAGCGAAATATAAGGATTTATGATTTAGTTAAACAAGAAATGGTGAAGAAACTCATCTCAAATTCTAAGTGGATTTCACACATGGCGATTCATCCAGGTGGTGATAATGTTCTCGTAGGAACATATGATAGAAAAGTGCTATGGTTTGATTTAGATCTATCTACTAAACCCTACAAATCTTTGGCTTTGCATAACCAGGCTGTAAGGAGTGTTGCGTTTCATAAAAAATATCCATTATTTGCTTCTACCTCTGATGATCAAAGTCTTATTGTGTCTCATGGAATGGTTTATAATGATCTTTTGCAAAATGCTTTAATTGTCCCAGTGAAAAGATTTAGTAATCATGAAATGGTTAATGATTTTTCAATATTTGATGTGCTTTTTCATCCTTATCAGCCATGGGTATTTACTAGTGGAGCAGATGGGAAAATAATTTTGTATACATAAGAAGAAATGAACTTTAAAAATGTATATATAATGTAAATATGTATATGGTATCTTGACAATTTTTTTTAATTTTATTTACACATGCTTTAATTATTTTTATAAATGCTACTTCAGTATTTTCAATCAAGCATTGTGGAAAAATTACGTATACTGAACTATAAAACTGGAATAATGTACATTCACAAAAAATGTAAATGTAAATTGATGTTTATATTTCAAAAATTTGTTGTTGCTCTTTATAGTATAAATATATCAATTTCATGATCACTTTATTATAAAAGTTATTTATTCCTTACATACCTTCATTATCATTGAATATTTTATTTACAGTACTTATACACTAGTGCATGACTATTTAAATTTTCTTTCATACCTGCGTATTTTAGTACTTTGCAAGTATATATGTGTTCACTTATCCATGTTGTCTTCAGAACTCCTAAGTCACTGTACTGTGGTTTTAACCCATTGATTTTGCAGTATACTTCAACAAATGCTGTAGGTTTTTCTATATTCTTAAATAATTCATCATCGTCAATCTTCGAAGTTTTATCATCTACCTTGGAAAAAAAAAAAATGTAAGTCATGCTATAACTGGTATGTGAATAATTAAACAGTAGTTTAAATTTGTCCTTTATATATCTTAACTTAATCTATATCTTTTTTGTTCATAAATTTTTATTACAGTATGTTCAGTGGATTTATCATCCTTTTGTACTTGAGCTAGGACAGGAAGGGCGTCTTATCCTTCAGTTTCATTGATCAAAATCATCACAGTCAACCGTTATTCATTACTTCTACTAATATTACTAAAACAATTTGTGAGTCTTGATTTTGTAGAAATATATTTAAGGAGAGCGGGATAGCTCAGTTGGTGAGCGTTGACTTCCAAAGCTTAAGGTCGCAGGTTCGAATCTGTCTGATGACTAGTAATTTTTTATCAGCCGTGGCTTGACCCTGGGGCCGGGAGGCCCTCCTGGGGCAAACCCAGCCTCTATAAAGTGACTGCTCTTAATTAAATAATTAATCAAGAGGTAAAACCTGTCAGTAGAGCGTGATCTTGGCCTGGACAACCACAACCGTTGGCCTTCTAACAGTACTTCCTCACATTGCACTGAATCCAAGACCCTTCAATGGTTGTTAGTTGTACAGGTTTTTTTTTTTTTTTATATATATATAAAAGAGAAAAGCCTGTTGTAACAATTACTAATTTATTTCTCCCATATCTGTTTAAATGTGGATAAAATATAAATTGAATAACGATTATAAAATAACTTCAATGGAGGTTGTTAAGGTTCAAGTAGGGTAAGCTCACAAAGTTTGAAAATAAGAAAAGCTAGTTTCACAATGTTTAACAAATTTTGTTAAAAATTACTGTTACACAGTTAGCAATGAGGCACATTTTGACTGAATGTTATGCATATGAAGCACAACAAAATGAAGTTGAATTGGAGAACGATATTACTGCAATTTTGAAAAATACCACCAAATTGGTAAAACAATTGTTTACATTCTTTCAAATAACGCACCTATATAACAAAATTTAAATTTTGCTGACTCTTTTTTTGAAATTTTAATGTTCTAAAGATTTTGTATATTCAATTTATTGTTAAATTTCATCTGACGTAATATAAATAATGTGCAAGGGATAAAATGAACCGTAAGAGGTTGAGGAGCCCGCCATTGCTATAAATAAACAAATTTTGTTTAAAGTGAAACTAATAGAAGGACCTAGTGCAAATTAAATGTAAATCTATTTTTTAAGTTTTAGTATGGATTTGAAAAAAAACTGTGATCACTGGATGTTATTATTATTATATTAGTTAGTACAATTTTAAAACTTGTTATTTTTTTGGGGTGAATCTACATTATAAAAGGTTATGTTTAAGTCTCCTAGAACCTCCAGTGGTCCATCTTTGCTCTGAAGATGGTAGCCATGTTTGGTTGAAACATTATACAAAAAAATGATATAAATGAATGTTTTTTAAATAATTACGATATATATTACAGTCAATTAACTACCATTATTATCTCCATTACAGTACAATAAATGTGCTAATGAAACTTATGTGAAAGAAGAAATATCAATTTCTATCTCATATTAAAGTAAAATATACCTAATGGAATAATCCAACTTACAATGGGTTCAAAATCTTGTTCATTTTCTTTAGCAAATATTTTTTCCTTTTCCGATTCCGGTTTCAATATCGTATTCCTTAGTATATGCTCTGCTTTTTTTGGTTTCATTCCAGTAATTGCTGATGATGGAGGAGGTAGTTCTGGTGGTGTGTTATATCCTCCTGAAATCGACCAGTGTTTAATTTTTTATTCAAGACTTATTAATATGTTCGTTGCTTTTTATGTTTTATTTATTTTGAAGGTTTTCTGTTAAGAATTTCGATTCATTTTTACTTCTTATTTTAGTGTTTACTCGATTCATAGCCCATTGCAGGCTCAAGTTGTCAAATAGTAATAAGAAATTCAAACAGTTATGCCAGTCTTTCAAAACTTTTATTTATTTTAAATTCATAACACATTTACAAAATGTGTATATTCAGTAATAGTATTCATAAAGAATCTTATTCATTAATAGTAAACTTATGATGGTAGGTAATAAATACATAATTGTTTAAAATTTACTTTATGTTACCTACATTTCCTAAAATATAAATGAATTGCTCATTTTGAAAAAGGGTTAACTCCTTTTGAATAATAATTGAGTCGACTCTTTCTCAAAATAAAACATAGTTTAAAATGTATTGTGATTGTGAAATTATTAGACTCCTCCTCCTCTTAAATCTTTTGACCTTAAATCAGCAGCTATTTTTGGACGTTCAATGGCATCATTTTGGAGGAAATATTTTTATTTAAAATATTTTTATTTTGATATTCAAGGAATGATAACCAATTAACCCTGGTAATATTTTTAATTTATCAAAGAAGTTGATTGATTCTTTGATGAGTAATTGAGCAATAAATGTTTTTTAATCAAAACATTTAACAATTATAAAAATTTATGTTTTAAAGCAAAAACAGCTTCATAAACTTTAAGAAAATGTTAACAACCTTTTGAAAACATATTAATTTTTTGAGTTACTGAATCATATTACATCCCATATGGATCTGCTGTAGATCGTTGGCTTAAATGCAGTGATTGAAATATTAAAATTACAACAAGAAAATCATTGTTAAAAGAATTGGTTATCATTGGAAGTTATGGCATTTGCACCCTCAACCAAGGTGGTTATAGGTAGATAGGTATATTAAAGGAAGGAATTTATTAATGTATTTTTTATAAAAGTAATTACTAAGGTATTATTTTAAACTTTGTGGTTCTTATATTTTACAAGTAATAATTTTAATGGAATCATTAATATAGCTATATTTACTTGTTACTTACCTGTTTTTTCGATTTCAGGAACAGGAAGATTATGTTTTATCTTTTCTGCTTCACACAGTCCTGCAAACCTGATCATAATTTGTTCTAAGCAAAAAATCAGCTCTTTTTGTTGTTCGGAGTAGTGTTTTCCTTTTGTGTATATAGCGAATTGTTCTATACGTTTATCTGAGAAATTAATTAAAAATATATGGCAAACAAGTAAAACATTAATGCATTTAATGAAATGTTAATTTTTAGAATATTTTATCATTTACAACATAAATGTTAAAAAAACTCTTAATGAGGCTAAATTAGGTAAATGTGCTGTGGCATCACTTTTAATTCAATACTTGCCTGTGACGGCTAAGTAAAAAAAAATGTAGTAATAATAGTTTTTTTAAAAATTAATTTACATATATACAGTGTATATCTTACAAAAGCTAAAAACATACCTCATGGTAATAACTGTCTTGAGGGAGAAAAAAATATATATAATATTTTTTTTTTGGGTGATAAATATTCAGGATGCAGTCTTATAACAACTTTTTATTTGTGCCGACATTTCAGCCCAAACATGTGGGTCATCATCAGGGGGTAGTTCTAGCACTGAAGGCTCTCAAGCACTGACAGCCATCAGTACTTATACTTAACCACGCCCTGATGATGACCCACCCACATGTTTGGGTTGAAACATCGGCACAAATAAAAAAATTTTATAAGACTGCGTCCTGAATATTTATCACCCATGATATGTAGAACTGTCGACTAGCTTCCTTCTACAATTCATATAATATTTTTATTTGGGAAAAGAAAACAGGTAGGCTATCTTATTAAGAAACAAATAATTTTACAAAAGTTTAATAAAAATATTAAATAAATCAAGAAAATTGTAATTTAATTAAATGCAGCTAAATGCCAATGACAATGTAAAGTTAAAAAAATTGAATCGGGATGTAATAATTCACTTGCACCGCTGGATCATATTAAATTTTTATTTCCTGAAAAAACTATAAAAACAGAATTTCGTCTGTTATAATTTTACATTTATCATGTTTCTTATGTTATTTTGTATTTAAATTTTTAGCCTTGATGAGCAATCTCGAAGAAATTTTGGACTGCACGTTCTGACCATTTTTCCTTTTTTTTTGTTTTTGTTATATTTTTGAAACTTATGGGCCTATTAATATAAGTATACATATAATAAATGAGCATAAAGGAGTATAATAACATAAAAAGATTTGTGGAGAACTACTCATTAGTATCGTTCTAATAAAAGGTCTACAATAGTTAGTCCCAACACCATCTTCTTTTCAGACTTTTCAGAGCAAACAAGTCTCAAAGCAAATGGGTTTGGATGGTTCTGAATAGTTCTGAATATGGAAGGATAGGTCAAATTAGCAACATGTGGTAAATTAAGGTGATCAATGATGGTTTTATTTGTGATAAAATAAGAAGAATTGAAAATTTTACAAAGAATTGCATATAATAAGAAATCAATGACTAATGGATTCTCCGTACTTTACTCTTCAAAAGCCTTATTATAGTCATGTAAATGAGGTTTTTGTAACTAATAGGAGGCTTAAAGTGGATTTCTAGTAAGTGCTAGAAATGTAGGATAGTAGAGTAGCTGGAAGTGTAGGATAGTGATCCAGGCGTTTTAAAAATTGGTATTTGAGGATTTTAGTTTTGTTTGGTAACATAGATAGAATGAGTAAGATGATGGGTATTAAATCAGAAATTAAAATTTCATTTATTATTTTAAAAAACAATACTATGACCAGAATGCTCAGTAATAAATAAATAAAATAATAGTTAGCAGTGATTATTTAATTTGTTTTTGATGTGTTTTGATTTATGGGATTTTTAAGTTTATGGGATAAGAAATTCTATTACGACCTCACGACTAAATCAAGATCACCAAAGTATACCATTTTACAAAGAAAATTGACTTAAAATCCCTCAAAATTTCACATTAGCATGTTTAAATCTGTTCATCTATATTTCACTCTTTAATTTAATTTAATTTAATTTAATTTTCTTTGTTTTTATTTTATTTTTATACGAAGGTATTTATTAATCATTCATACAGTTGCTAGCTATACTATTTCATATAGATAAATAAATAAAAAAATTGGTACCTACTTATACCAATTAATTTATACGTTCCCCAGACAGTACAGAGTCCCATTTTCGCCAAATAAATTAAAAATAACTTTCAGTCAATTGCATCTTATTTCTGTAGTCCGCTCCTGCATAAAATGTTTTTGATACTTGAGGTTGGATGCACCAGTCAGTTCAAGAGTTCAAAAGGACTTGAGAATGTTTAGAAAAAAAATCTCAATAGCAATCAAGTTATAAATACAAAGTACCAAGTTATACATATGTTGTAAATGACAGTGTAATTACATAACTTTACTCCTGAGCTTTTATGAGTATTTATCGTCAAAATAAGTTCTCTCTACTTTATCAAAGGCAAAGGTAATATTTAAAATTTTATTGATTTTGAACAAAAATCAAAGTATATGTCATACAAGGTCATATTGACAAAGTTCCTATTTGGACAAGTTTAGGGTGTAATCAGTGGATTATCAATGGAATTGGATGGAAGAAAAAGGACAGTTTTTAAAGGTTAAAACAATTTTTTTTTTCAACATAATAGTAAGTCTCATTTACATAAAAACCAATATATATAAATACCGTTATAATATTATTATAATAGTCTTAGAAATTCATTGCCTGCGGGCAATGACGTCGTCTCACCATTAAAAAAATTAAATTTGTTTCTTAAGCTGTTTTATATTATGTAATATTTGACTTTTATTTCACTCAACATTTCTCTCATCCAGTTGCTTTATTGAAAGAGCAAAATTTATTTTTTTAATACGTTCCATAAATATTTTTCAAATTTCTAACAAGTGGCGAGAGCCCCTAAAGATCGACCGGCGCCCCGGCTGCATCACTTTAAGACCGGCAATATACATATATATATATATATACACACACAAGTAATGGTTCTTCTGGAAGGAACAATCACCATATGTGTAGGAACTTTTAAAACCCATTTATAGCTCTTTAACTGTCATATATTTCAGCTGAGCCGTTTTTAAAAGCATCGCTCAAAAATTCTTCTTGGCAATCAACTTAAAAAGGTTAAGAGAAAATTAATTTTAATAATCAATGGCGTAACTAAGGATGACTGCATACCGGCGCAAAAGTTTTCCATATTGGCAGCCCACTCTAATTAAAAAATAACCAATTTTATCCTTAGTATTTTTCCAACTACTCCCTAAGATATCATGATTAGGCTTACCATAAATCAATATATTTTTTCCAGAGAAACAACCGTAATTTGAATTTTAATTTTTTTAATTGGTTATGGAGTGATCTAAGATGAATACTTATACAACATATTATCTTTTTCAATTATATTTTTTCTTTTTCTTTCAAATTTATCAAGGTTGCTTTAGAAAAAAAAGTCTCCAAAAAAAAATTAAATCCTGGATATGCTACTGCGAAAGACGACATTACTCCCACCACTGGCGGATCTACGGAGGAAGGGGATAGGAAAGGCTAAGGGAGGGAGAGGGGAGGAGAGAAGGAGCCTTCGGGCTGAAGCCTCCCCCACCAAAATGGTAAAATATTACCGTGTCTTAAGAAAAAAATATTAAAAATTAAAATTAAGTATTTTTGTTCGTGTAATTACATTTAATAGGACTTCATGAATTACTTAAACACCTCTTGGTATTTATATTTAGTATTTGGTATTGGTATGGGTAGTTAGTTTCTTTCCTTTTTTCCAAAGTAATTATAGTTATATTTAAAAAAAAAAATTCTTTCGTTCTGAAGTCCTCACAAAATGAAACTCTGGACCGTGACTCCCACAATCTTATTTCATCAATAAAATATCTTATCAACGAGATGTTTCTATTTCCTCTATATTATAACAAAAAGTGGTCTTTTGTAAAACATCAATCGTTTACTAATTAAATGTTTTAAACAATATTCCTATAAAAAAAAAATATTGATATGTTTACTATTTATGGAAGTAGTTACATTTGCGTTATTTATCTCGTTGCACCAGTGACGCAATCGAGAATGATTCTACTACTCCAATGCAAACGATTTTTCCTCTCCCTATCTCTACCTACCTAACTAATAATAGTTGTTTACAGGAGTGCCCATCCCCTCCAAGGTTGATGGAGCATGAACTTAACTACTATGAAATTAACACCTCCTCCAAAGATATTTAATTGCTCTCCTCTTCTTAATAACAGTGCAAGCTAAAGTATAATTTTAAAAATCATGGGCCATATACAATTACACTTTCAGTGGTCTATTTTATGCTTTCCTGTTGTCCTCAGGTTCGTTTAAACATTTCAAGAAGTGGGCGTTGCGGTCGTTTTTACCAATCTCATGCGACTACCCTGAGGATGCCGCCGCGTACTTAGCAGAGTGAGAATTTCAAGATACATTTTTCGGGGTAGTCGAGAAATAAATATTAACTGACCTCGATGAAGATTAAACCAGACATTCTGAGAACCTAGCCCCAGCATACTCAGCGAAGTCCTCTCTCTAGGTACTACTTGACATTATAATTTATAAAAATTATAAATAAACGACGTTTAACTTTTTTATTTTATTGATGTGTTTACCAACATTATTGTGGAATTAATGTGACTATATAAAACCCTAGAAAAAAAGGGACTAGAGAAGTACAAATAAGATATCGGACGTGCGGAGAGCACCAATTATATTTTTATGGTAATTAATAGTATAATTTTGTATTATTTAATAATAAACAAATATTATTTTAAAAATACAATCAACAACACAAAAATAAAAAGCAAAACAATATTTTAATTAATACCAATAATGTTATATATATATATATATTATTTATTTTATTTGACGCGAAACAGCCCTGAAGGACTACGCGACTATGAAACTGGTTTCTTTTTCAATTTCTTCTTTTCTGCCCATCTCTGCTTGAGGATATCGCTAAATTTTTTCTTCCTCTCCTCCGTCCACTTCCTCCTGGACGGAAGTTCATTGCTGTCCACCAGATTCACCGCACTTTTCAGGAATTTCTTGTATTCTGTCCTATCCTCACATAATACTCATGTTATTTCAAGCTTCTGTATTTGCTGTTTTATTTGTACCGTATATCCATGGTTATACTTGTATCCCATAACCCTACTGAAAATCTTCTTGTTTAACCTCTCTTCGGTCATCCTTTGCATGTGTCCATAAAACCTAAGTCTTCTTTCCCTCATTTCCGTTTCCAAATCAGAGGTTTCACTGTAAATTTCCTTATTGGATTTCAGTCTGTATCCTGCTGGTGTTATTTTGGGCCCATGGATTCTTTTAAGAATCCTTCTTTCTCTTTTCAGCAGTTTCTCCAAACATTGGCTCCGTTCCGTACAGTATCACTGGCTTTATCACTGTATTGTAGTGCCTGATTTTGGAATTTTTGGGGAGGCATTTTTTATTATAAATGCTACTCGTTAAGTAGAATAATTTCTCCAAATTTTGTATCTTATACTCCATGCATTCTTTCTCCGATAAATTTCTGCTGATTATTTCGCCCAGGTATTTAAAGCTTTTAACCACCTTGATTTTACCGAATTCTGTTTTTATTTCTGTCTTCCTATAGTTGGGGTTTGTGGTCATAAATCTAGTCTTCTGGAAGGAGATTTTAAGTCCAGTTTTCTCGGCTATTTTTTCAGCTAATTTATCTGTCTAATCGCCTCTTCCTCCGACTCTGCCAATAGGGTCAAGTCATCCGCAAAGGCTAGACATTTTACCAGGATATTGCTCCTTTGATTTTCTACTTTAGCTCCTGATGTTTCTTTTTCCCATAAGGTCCTCAGACTATTCAGACTAGGATATCCAACCGCACCACGTCGAAGCACGTCCGCAATACTTCAGATGGAAGTTTAAGAAAAGTTTTGGGAACCGAAACAATAGCGGCCATATATATATATATATATATATATATATATATATATATATATATATATATATATATATATATATATAGAAAATAAGAACAGATTCTTTCAACAATATATGAAATAATCCGTGAGGAATTCGATAAAACTTCAATTCACATAAAAAATTAACATAGATACAATGTTTTACGACCGAGCTATTCCTTTATTTATAAAAAAATATTGTAAAAATAATGTTTTGACATAAATAAATGATTATATTGTATATGTATGCATTGAAAGGATGTATTTATTGTTCAAATTGGTTATTGATATTTTATTAAAACGTATGGTTAACTAGCAGCAGTAAAGAAAATAAAAAACAATTTCAGAGCGCAAGCACGAGAAGGGGCAAAGGGTTCTGAACTGTTTGAATAAACAAAAATTCTATTTTTTATCTAAATTATCTATGCAATAGGTAATCATTACCCACCCACAAGTAATCATAAAAAGAAAATAATTTAAAAGTAAATTAGTCTCCATAAAATTGGAAGAAATATTATTTTAAAAACATATAATATGTAATGGTGGTTCCATTTATTCGATTTCAAGAAAATCGTGTGTTAAGGTTAATCGTTATCATTCCCGGCTAATGTTTAACCTTAAATCTCTCCTTAGATCTTGTAATAAGATAACCTTTGACAACTCTATAATTAAAAAAAAATCCATCTTCTGGAGTAGTCTTGCAAAATTAATTGATAATTATAATTATTTTGTTTATACGTCATTTTAGGTATTTCAACTAGGGAAGAGTTGAATCGATAACTGGTTCACTTTGCTGCCACGGCCACAAAAATCAGATTACCATTTACCAATATTACTATTGGCCAGAGAAGTCACGTGGGTTCTTTCGTTGTTTTATTTTGCTAATTGGAGCGAAATTAGATTTCGGTTGAGACGTCCATAACACATTTTCTTTAAAATGAGTTTCGTTTTATTAATTATAGAATCCTATTTAAAAAAAAAAAAATTAGAATTAAAAATAATTGATGCGTCACGACTTTATAAGTAGTAGTCGTTCCATCTTGTTTTCGTAACTAAAATCCATTTCTCCTGTTGTAGCGCGCCGTTTAAAAGTACATCCACGAGCCTAATTGTTCAGTTGTGTGATTCTGTGAAATGATTGCTGAATGGAGTTACAATTTATTCAAAAATAATTTTATTCCTAAAAGAGGTTCGTTCAATGAATTACGTCGAAAACAACTGTGAAGTTCGGAATGAATGCAGGGAATAGTGTGTTCATAAGTTGTGAAAAGATGAAAGGATATTCTGAAATGAAGGTACTGTAATTAGAATAATGATGACTTAGCTTCTATATTTTATTTTTTAACGCTTTAAACAGTAAGGTTTTCAATTCGGCCTACAAATATATATCATAGTTTATTCGTGTACAACATCTTTTTTATTTTTTTTCATATTCTTGGGATCGTCCTTTTTAAATTAACGAAGGTCTTTAGTGTTGTGTAACTTGTTTAGTTTGCCTTGCCAAAGCTTTGTGTAACAACTTTAAAAGCAGTTCACATTTCCACCCTAGTCTCTAGAAACTTATTTATTCAGAAATATTACAATCTGTCACAATTAAGGACATTTATAATAGTGTTCAGAGAGCACATTCACACTCTACTAGTCTCTGAAAAAATTATTTTTGTCGATTCCACATCGATTCCAAAAGATACCCTTTTTCTTTACATCTTGTTTTTTTGAATGATTGTTCGTGAATGATATTTTTGGTAAATATAACATTTGTTAATATTCTTGAGTGAGGTAATGTTTTATACGAACTGGTTATGGAAAGATATTTTTTTCGGCTCAATATTCATGTATGTTTTCTGTGATTCTATTATCTTTGTCATCGCAAAGCGAAAGGGACATTATTTCACGATGCGATCCATTCACAAATCACGATGTGATTAACTCATAAATCTCGATGTGAAATATTTGTTCTCAATATATAAGTTTTCTTCTTATGCAATATTATTATAAGCCATTCAGTTGTTCTAGTAATTTAATAATAACATTTGGAAGTGGAATACTCCCATAATAGAACCTTCATAGATTGTTGCGCGACGAAAAGAATGAAATGAACTTACGAATTAGATTGGAACTTAAAGCTATTTCCTATAATTTTACTATAGATACAATCCTTTAATTACCTTTCATTATCTTCGAAGAGAATCAAGTCTAATTTGAGTAATAGTTACCTAAATATTATTACTAGTAATTCGATAACGACTTGTCCTTGTATTTAGTTTCTGTTAACTTTCATTTAAATTCCTCCATACATATGCAAAAAAAAAACAAAAAAATCTAAAACTATATCGGTTTAAACGATATGATTACCAAATAATATAATTAATAATTTTCCTTCAATAATCTTTGCACCGACTTAAATGTGGAGAATATTTTTTTATCGTATAAGAGAACCGTTTTTTTTAAATGGTATTTTTTTTTCAAATAACAATTTTGTATAAATATGATCGAATATTTTCATTTACTATTTAATCAAAATTTAAGATTAAATATTATTTATGTTCAATCATTTTTGAAGTATCAGCGAATTAAAATTATTTTTTAGTGTGATAAATTTTATTGAATTTTTGTTTTCCATTGAAGGATGATTATTGATATAACCCACTGATAAAAGGAAATGGTCAGGTATAGTAAGCCTATAATTTGAGGTTTCCTTTCATTTCAATTTAAGGTTACTCTAAAAATTCTATGAAAGTTTTTGTTATGTAATAGAACGTTTAGAAAATTTTTGCTTCCAATAATTAGACGTTCCTCCACAACATAAATTTATTTAAACTTCGAAATTTTTTTGTGCAGGAAATTAGTCATTGTGTGTATAATTAAAATTGACAAGTGTAAACAGGAATAAACAAAAAATACGAAGTAAAATATACATAGAAATGGATATGGTCTACGCATTATGCCTAAGTCGCCGTCTACGGTCCGTTTTCTCAATAATTTATTTTTTGAAATTTCTTTAAAAAAGATGAATTTAATCAGGATTTGAGGTAGTTAACTTTTTATGTTCATTTACTGGTAGGAAGATGGTTTAAAATTAGAAGGAAAATTGTAAATTAAATATATTATGTGGCTTATTGAATAGTTGATCTTTGTAATTAATCTAGGAGGAGATGGTAACTGAAAATTTTGGGGATGATAACCATCTTATCTTTTGATGTTCCAGAGGTCTAAAACCTATCGCTAAATACATCTAAGTTTCAAGACGAGAGCAAAATGCTTAGACGCTACAAGATAATTACTCCATTTTCGCCTTCAAAGTCTAGAACAATTGAGGAATATTTTTATGTTACTTCCACTTTTTATTAGTTTGGATTCCATTGATGTCAAGATGAATTTATGAGAAAAACCTAAAACGAAGAGGTTATGTAATCTAAGTACATTATTTACTAGTTAGTTACACAATCGAGGTCCATTATTTTAGTTTTCTGGTTAAAAACAGATTTTACGCTGAATTTATTACTTAATGTAATCATGCATCAGAACATGTTTTGGTTTTTCTTTCTTTCTCTTTTTTTTCTATGATTCATAAGAAAATCTCTTTGCATGTGGAATTGAATTTTCGAAAATCGATTTTTTAAGTTATTTATTTTATTCATGAACATACATGAGAAAAATAGGCTAATCAAGCAGCAAATTGTTACAGAAATACTACTTTATGTATTAACTTAACACTAGTAGTAACTCAGAACAATCCGAGAAGTCTTATTTGTTATATTGTTACTTACTAACTATTCTAATGCAGTATAAAGAATGTTAAGATCATGATATTTGCGGATTGTTTAGAAAATATGGCCAAACTCATATAAATGTTTCTTCTACTTTTCACCAGAAATATTTAATATATTTGATATAAATTGAAATATATTTTAGTATAAAGTAGCAAAAACTCTAAAGATCAGATAAAACGTATTAAATCAACAGCTTAAAGGACTCAAGACATACAAAAACCTTATTCTTTTAAAGACAATCCTGATAATTATAAGGTTAAGTTTATTAATTGTAAGGTTTATTAATTCATAAAACTGACTTCTACTGTAAATGGAACGAGTTTCATGTAATGATACGTTCTTGTACAGCTAGTGCACATATCTATAATAGACTTATTCACCTGACTATAGCTACTTGGCTCAGTTTGAAATGTTATGGTATTATATTATATCGAATCAAATGGGAAGAAGATACGTACTTCGCTCTCTTTCCCTCCCCCCACCGCTCTCTCGTCCTTCAATTTATTAGATTGAAACAGGGGATTACAATTGGATAAACATTCTAAAACTGTAATTTTTACCAATTCCTATACTATAATAGATGGTGGTATAAAGGGTCATTGATTTGAATTCAATGAGGAATGATGACAGCAAACTGGTGAGATCTGAAATCTGCGTTTGAGGAAGGAGGAATTTGAGGTTGATGGTTAGGTATGTTAAGATTAACAGGATATTGATGTTGGGGTTGAGGTAGTTGCTGCGGCAGGACTTCACATTTATTAGTTGGGTTCTTATCTCCAAGTAGTTCGGAGGATGATAAATTATTATTCACAATTTTAGAAGATTCTCTTCTTGGTACGGTTGTCTCATCTTGAACCCGGGTCTTCTGGTTTCTAGATTTGGGATTCTTATAAGCTTGGCAGCCAGTATAGTTGGCCGGACGTCTCTCTAGGCATATGACACAATCCCCCCATCACTGCAGGATCTTGTATCGGTTTGGTGCACTCTGCTGATTTGTGTTGTTCACCACATTTCACACAACGCGGCAAGTGGTGGCAATAAGTCTTCGTGTGGTCGTACGACTGGCAATCGTGGCACTGCACGATTTTCTTCTTGTGGTATGGCTTCTCTGTATTCACGATAGTGTAGTATAATCTCTTGATTTCGTATATTTTCTCGATATCAGGTGATGGCTCCAGGTCCACCAAAAATAAGGGTAGTGGAACTTTATTTTTTACTCCTGGCTGCTCCTTATTCTCCTTCAGAACGTTGGTTACCTGAAGTACTTTGAAACCAAGCAGCGTTCGTTCTTCTTTTATCACTTCAGCTGTGGTTAAGGACGATATCTTTTGTTTCAGCTGGTTCGTATGAAAATTTACATTCGTTTCTGACAGATACTTCACTGTTTTTCGGTAGATTTCTGCAGTATCTGGAGTTATTTTTGTATCGGTGGTCCTGTTGAGGCAAGAATAACTTATTTATTTATCTATGCCTCCCTCCCTTCGTTACTTTTCAGCTACACGGGATTTTGCAGAGATTGTATATCACACTCGTGCATGCCATTCCTGCTATTAAACCACAAATTAACTGTCAATTTTTTTTTTCAAATCTCTCATAAGGGGCAAGAACAACTGCCAGAGCAGATTTTATTTAGTTGTATACACAATAATTGGAATTTTTTTAAATTTTTTACAAATATCAGAGGAGGCCTTGGCTCCCTGGGTATTGCTGCAGACTCCATTACTTCTCTGTCATTATAAAGCACTTGGAGTAGGTATAGAGTAAAGACGTATAAGGTTGAGCCTGAGGTTCTGGATCTGAAGTGTTCACTGTGGTCATTGGAGGAATTTCTCGTAGGCAGCGACGAGTTCTTTGTTTGGCTGGTGAACCACGAGGGGTAATAAAGCCGTATGACTTAGTCCTCTTAGTAGGTACCTTACTGGACACCACTTAGTGATAATGCCGCATAACATAAGAGAAAAAAAGATATAAAATGGTAAATATCAACTGCTCTGATGTACACTTGAACTGTATTCAGTGAATAATCAGGGAGATTCCGCTGAAAAATAGGCAAAAACTGAGAGACTAATTGAGAACAAAACCTTCGCATCGGCTGATCCATTCCCTTCAGTGACTAAGATATTATATAACACACACACACACACACACACACACACACACACACACACACACACACACACACACACACACACACACACACACACGCACGCACGCACGCACGCACGCACGCACGCACGCACGCACGCACGCACGCACGCACGCACGCACGCACGCACGCACGCACGCACGCACGCACGCACGCACGCACGCACGCACGCACGCACGCACGCACGCACGCACGCACGCACGCACGCACGCACGCACGCACGCACGCACGCACGCACGCACGCACGCACGCACGCACGCACACACGCACGCACGCACGCACGCACGCACGCACGCACACACACACACACACACACACACTTGTATCTCGTGTGTATTCAATATAACTGTGTATTCAATAGCTAGCTTTACGAGCTTTGTTTTACAATTTCTTCCGCTGTCATAAGGTTGTTCCATTTTAAAAAATGTTTTAAAAACTTTTCCTTTAAAAATTGCATTAAAAAAAAATACGATTTATTATATTTAAAATTTATGAAAGCTTTTCACAGATTTCGATTTTAAGGACAATCTGTTGGCTCAAAAGATATGTGAATGCACAACAATGCTTCGATCAACATTGCCAAGGCTTACCATGTAGCTGTACTTCGGTGGAAGCTGGACAAAAGGATGTGATATCATAAAGGCTGATTCATGTTACAATGGGAAAGGTACGTTAACTCATTTAGCAGGCTTTAGAGGACGGCGATAACAGAGATTAATTTTAGATCATAATGGTTTGGTCATTAACTTAGATATAGTTACAGCTCACTAGTGGTAGAGGAAACAAATAAGCCAGATATGATCATCGTCCAAGAACTGATTTTGGTGGGTAGATGATATAAATTTCGTAATATTATTTTTTAAAAAATCTTTTATCATTTCCGTAAACCTTAACGTTAAATAACTACCCATCTCCATAATATATGGTGAGTGATATCCGCGAAACATGTTTATTTTTATTTATTATACACTAGCGGATCCAGAATTTGATTTTGGGGAGGCTTCAGCCCGAAAGCCTTTTTATTTAAGTTCTTCTCTACCTACATATAAGAAATGTGTTTCTTGAAGTCCTATTAAATGTAATTACTCGAACAATGCTACTGTAAGAGATAATGTTTTAATATTTTTTTTTTCCATAAAACATAGCTACATTTTACCATTTTTTTGGGGGGAGGAGGCTTTAGCCTCAGAGCCCCCCCATCACTCTTAGATTCGCCCTTGGTCCACCCCGTCCTCAAAAACTGTTATTTTGGGACATTAAAAATTATTTGATAATGGTCATTCTGAAATTCGAATAATTATAATATGTGTTACAGTGAATAATATGGTTGTGCAACGACAGTATAGTTAATTCCCGCATCTCAAGCAAGGCAGGAATACACAATAAATTAAAAACGGGCAAGAAAGATATAGGGAATATGAGTAGAAGAGGAGATGGTGTTGGTCCAGCAAATTGTAGAGGGAGTGGAACCTGTAATGGTTCGGACAATGGTGACAGAGAACAATGGGAGCACACTTAACAAAGGGACTCTGATAACGGGGGGCAGATTACACCCCTCTTCCCCCCTCCTCTCCTCTCCGCCTTACCATCAAATATTGATGGCAGCTCAGTCAACAAGTAACCTTATTTTATTGCATTTTTATTAATCATATTGGTCAGTTCAATGATTGTTTGTCAATTATTCTACTTGTTCAAGAATCAACCAATAAAAAAAAAAGAAAAAAAAAAAGAAGAAAATAAAAATAGAAAACCACCATTTTAAGGGCCTCCATTTTTAACCAATTAGTTCTTCCATAGTTGAGTGATAAAGTACAAGATTAAAAGAACTATTGTTAATTATGTCTTTCTGAAGAAAGAAAAATCATTAAAAGCGATCTTCAATAGCCTGGTGGAAGAAGAGTGGGGCAGATGTAAGGCGTAATTATCAAATCACTTTTTTTTAGTTAAGTTCTAGATTGCCAATGCAATTGCAAGTTGTAGTCAATCTCGATATGGTTCAGAGCGTAAAAGAAAACCTCAGTGACAACGAAAACGGCGTAGAAAAAAACCTTTTTTTTTTAGAAATTATAAAATTCTACAATAGAGTATAAATAGGAAGTGTTGCCAATGACCCTGCAGGGTAGAGGCAACAATAAAAACAAATAAATTTCATTTTGCTGCATAACAATTATTATGAAATATATATTTTTGTTTAATTATAATCGAAAATGTCAAAAAAAAAATGTGATTCAACAAACCTGTAAATTTTTATTTTTTAAATATTTATTTATATTGTGTTTTATTGTTCTTTAAACAACAATATTTTTACTTTCCTACCTTCCAAATTTCCGATATGCTGTTTTTGAAGGATCTATACGTTTCAGAGCCACCTCATTCCGAAAAATACTTTTTTAGCCATCCAGAACTACTGAACCGATTTTGTTGTTTCTTTTTTTGTTTTGTAGAGTTTTGACTACTGATGACTGTGACAGAAATTCGATGCTCCATGTGCAATAGCTTGCGCGCAATAAATGAAAAAACATTTTTTTCTTCGGCTCTAACGATTTTGATGAAACTTTCCTATAATGTTCTAATAATTGTCCCTTCGTATATGGACTAAATTAAACACATTTATGAAGAGAATAATAGTTGGGGTGGTCAGTCAAAAAAGAAGGCAAAAATAAATGATAATATTTATTTTTACATATGCCGACGTTTCGACCAGAACTTCAGGCCATCATCACGGCTGACTGCTCTAAGGTAAAAGATGCAATCAATCATTGCATCTTTTACCTTAGAGCAGTCAGCCCTGATGATGACCTGAACTTCAGGTCGAAACGTCGGCATATGTAAAAATAAATATTATCATTTATTTTTGCCTTCTTTTTTGACTGACCACCCCAACTATTCTTCTCTTCATTATCCACGACAGTCAACCATTTACCAATTATAAACACATTTATAATGAAATATGGGAATAAAATTCTTCACAAAACTATATAAAAATCGTTCATTTCGGACAACTATTAACGAAGTTTCAGCTATTCAATTTCCAATGTAAGATTATGGGTTCAAATCTTGATTTTAGAAAGGGGTAAATGAGAGAAAAAGATAACTAAGTGAATGTAAGAAAATCTGTTGCCGGCATCACACAAGCTTCACCATTTTCTTTACTTTTAACAGAAACAGCAATATTAGAGGGTATTGAAATTTTCACACTGCTACTACCTTAAGCAGGTTTACATTGCTTTAGTTTGTGGAATAAATCGTACTCAAATCTTTTATTTGATCAATTTTCAGGAAAATAAATCTAATTCACTTTTTTATTGTTTCTTGATGGACATACGTAAAAGATATGAACAATACTTTTCTGAAATAGGTAGGAAAGTGGTGTGAGTGGACACACCAGATTTTTTGTTTTGTATTCTTTATCAATTATAATTTATTTTTCTTTTAATGTTTAAAACCTGTGATGTCTAAATAAGTTTAAAATATTACCACCTGTGATTTAAACTTGAATAAATTATATCTGTTAACGTTAATAACCACTATATTTAATGAATGGTGTTTAGGTTACCGATTTTCGTTACCGATTTCTCTTGACTAATTTTTACATAAGAAGATAATACCACCATGGTTTACTTTCTTTCAGAAGAAACATCAAATTTGCTAAAAGGAGCCCTTTTTCATTGACTCTTATACAACATATGTTTAAGTGGCGTTTGAGGAACAACTGTGTATACCACTCTTAGATTGAGAATCTTTCGCTTAAATTTTTTCCCACCTCGTGATCGGAAATCTTTCGAATTTCTTTTCAAAATATAAAATTATTAATTACATAAATTCGATGGATTTTCAATTAATTGGAGAGGCATTAAAATTATGCATGCTATTTAAACTGTTATGAATTTTATAACTGTCGTTACTTATTTGAAAATGCTACTTAACGAAATGTTTATGAAAAGGTAATTTTATCCCTTCAAACAGAAAATAGTTAGCTAAACAACGAACATTAAAAACAAATAATTTGACCTGTTTTTCCTCAGAGTTAATATGTATTCGATTGTTTCCAGTATGGAGGAACAATAAATGATCATACTGCTCCCTTACTATGCCTTATGTGATTAGACAGAAGATTAAATTTGTATGAAATTTATTAACAGTTATTTTGGTAAAAAGAATATTTAAAAAAAGACAACAATTAAAATTGGAATTTTCTGTAGGATTTAAAACGGTCTCCCACCTCCATAAACTCCTACCCAGTGATTTAGTAGCTATCAGGGCATGCTGATCGATCCAAAACAGATTAATACAAATGGACTCACTTGGAATAATCTATGCTAAATCTAGTCAATTACCTTGATGATAGCTAATATTCAGCCCTAATCATTAGGTATCGATCAATTGAGTTCAGCCTGCATGTAGTAATTAGAATATTAATATTTAATTAGCCTTATATTCTTCATAAATGATATTTATTAGGGGATTCTAATTTTAATATCAGACTCGAAATTAGCCCTAGATAACTTAACTTAAAAGCAACTATTGTCATTACTATTCCAACTTGTTTCCCCCACCCTTCCTCCCTCCCCCCCCCAAAAAAAAAAGCAAACGCAGATTGGACATTAGTTGAAAAAACTTACTATGAAGAATACATAGCTACAAAGTGAAAGAAAAATTTTAGTATAAATGTTTTTTGGAAAACATCACACCTCTTACTGAATTGTTTGTGGCCGCTTACTTTAAAAGAAGAACAATGTCATAAGGTTTTTGAAAGTAAAGAATTGCGGCCCGGAGAAGAGTTTAATTAAGAAATAAGAAGGGCACCCAACGTCAAAAGTAGTTGTTAAGATTACAGCATGACGGTGAATGAAATAGATATGCAAAGTTGGGAAAGGGTCACTAAAATGATAAACAGCGATAATCTGACGGTCAAGTGTCCTAGCGGTTGTTGAAAAAAGTATTATAAGGTCTGACTTTTAGGGAACTGAGTAATTCGATGAGTGAGGTTCATCGCTCCTGTGTTCAAGGTCGTGAGTTCGAGTCCGCTTCAGGCAGGTATTTATTTATTCTAATATATCAGCCGTGGATCGATCCCGGGATTAGAAGTCCATTCTGGGGGTACACCTAGTCTCTATGAATCGGGTAGTCTTAATTTAATTATTAATTAGGAGGAAAGATCTGTCGGTTAAAATAGCTCTCTTCATACGTTTCTGAACGTCAACAACGCTCCTCTCCGCAGAGTACCAGGGACCTCTCTGCTGCAAATGTGGCCGAGAGTCAGAAACCCCGGCTCACGTGTTGGATAAATGTCCGAGGAACATGCTTCTTATAGCACACCAGCACAGTAATGTAAAGAAACAGCTATCAGAAGTCCTGGAAATAAATAATTTCAGATGTTTCTTAAAGTCTGTTGTCTAGATTAGAGGTTTCCAAATTACGCCCTGCGAAATGTTCTAAATGTTCTCTGCTAAAATTAAAAAGAAATATGAAAATCAGTCTAGATGAGGTTACTACAGCAGTTATTGCATGCATGATTTGTTTCATTTAAAAAGATCATTTCACACCTAATGTGTAATCAACAAGATGCTTGTTTTTATCAGGACAATCCATGGTCC